TCCGTTCTGTATTTATGTATCTGTGTAAGAATTTTGTGGAACTTACGATCATATTTTTACAGTTTGCAAAGTTTCTCTCTCTATCATTATCAACGATTTTATCGTCAGCCTTATTTGGAAATTTTACATTATTATCATTCATTCAGTAACAAGGTCTCTATAGAAAATTTGTTACAAATTTTAAAGTTGACGGTATCTCTATTATCATTATTAACACATCGAAATGGATTTCAATATCCAAATTGAGATAGAATTGTTCCAAGAGTGGACAATGTGGTATCAATTAGAACTCATCACACCACCATGACGTGTTAGATATTGTTAATAGAAGTATAAATCGGGATTGTTGTTAATAACAAATATCGTTTTATAATTTTATTTGGCAGCTATTCGCTTCCTTTTCCGAGTAATTTTTTAAACTTAAAAGTTTTGGTTTAAAGAACTATTATTACAGTTCACATACATATATTAAGTTACCTTTAAAGGTATTGGAATTCTTGTGCTTGTATATTCCACCTACTGTTCCATCGGTTTAAGATAAAAACTTTTCTTTTGAACTCACCTTACGTCTCCCAATTCCTAAAACGATTTTTAGAAGTTCTGCTCTTAAACTTCGTTGACTTTCCTGTACTTTACTCGAGGGATTTACGGATTTTTACCTATGAATCAATAGTTTGACGAAAGTTTCATCACCACTTAACGTGATTTTTCAACGTTTACCATTAAAATAAATCCAGTTTTATTTTAATTTTAATACTCTGATTTCTAAAATGAATTAATTATGGTTCAATTGTGTCTTATTACATTAATCTTTATAAGTACACAAAAGTAGCTATTTGATAAATTTGCGTTATGACACATGGGTGGTGATGTGAAGTGGAAACCTTCGTGTATAAATTGTCACCCGTGAACCCCTGCAACGGGCATTACAGAAAGTGAGAAAAAAGAACGTTACTTGGAAAATATTTGTCGCTCCACCGTCACTGGCAAACAAAAGCTGATTCAACCTCGAAAAAAAGCATAAAAAAGCAGTAAAAAAATAGCTGCCACGCCATGCAAAGAGAAGGTACTTTTTATCCAGAATCTCAGACTAATTAAACTCTATAAAAGCCACTCTATTTGATGTTTGCATACTTATTATAATCTCAACTTCACAATTTAAATTATTTAACTTCTGGAGGTATGTTAAAAATAAAACTTTTTTGTTCTTATTTGCTAAATAAAAATATAACACACGATGTATTCATTAAACGAAACGTTGGAAACAGAAAGGGAAGTTCAACTTGATAAATGTAAACATGTCTTCAATGTTTACCTTTTTCAGAAAGTTTCCGAGAGACCGTTCAAGTGTGATTGCTGAAACTCTCGGTCGACCGCGATTAAACTTTATGCCACCTTTGTAATTTCGTAAATAGAACCGCCACCCTCGTTTTCTGTATTATTGATGAGAACTGTTTTTCCAAGTTCATTTTAAAAACACCGCCAACATTACCATCATTAATAACAATTTAATTTCAATCACAATAAGTGTCATATCTATCTTAACCCGCTTGACATTGTTACACGAAGATTTTAATTTAATTTTACCGTTGAAGGCATCATAGACTGGAAATAGAGTACATTACACGAACCGGTTAGTTCAAGTTTTGCTTTGATCTCAACATCGTAATTATACGCCTCTTTTCAGAGGATGCATCAAGGCATTTTAAGTGTTTTGTAACTGTTATAAATGCGTACTTTAACATTTAATTTATGTGTCAGTTGACGTTTAATAAAGGAATATGAGAGGGGCGATAAAAAAATTTTGAATGCAATCAGAACTTGATGTGCGAGTATAAACGTGTTAGATACACTTTATACCGACATAACCAAATTGAAATTGAGCACGTTTTACTCTGTACATCCACCTTTGATCACAAATTAATTTGTCTTTACTCGTGTTCTCGTTCGTAGGACCGTTGAGTCTTGAATGGATCTTGATTATATTTCCTACAATATTAACTTCAATAATTTAATCTGTTCGAGTGAATTTGATTTGCCTTCTTCGTTTCTAGCCATTGATTTCAATTATTAATTATGTTCGCTTTTAACAAACGGATACAAAATTATAATCTGCACAAAAAGTTGTAATCTGAAATGAATTAGTGCTTATTATAATAGGTGATAAAGGTTAATTAAAGTTTTCTTACCACATTTAAAATCCTCTTCAATTCAAACAAATTATTATTATGATATTACAATGTTATTCTATGCTATCTTACAACCTTTATAATTACATTTGTAATTATGAACTAAACTTACCGTGAAGTCGAGATAAATAGTTCACCCGAAATAAGCAAATGACTTCGGTTGTAATAACTAAACTTTAGAACAATATATATTAGGGTAATATACAAAACTTTGTAGTAATATCTCACAATAATTATAGTCCCACAAAATAATTCTACCCCACATAGAATACTTTGATGTTTCAAGTATTGTTACACTTCGCGAAAGGTTATGAAGACAGCAAAAATGTGAATAAAATCGTTCCACTTATCACACTTTCTTAGAAAGATTAAATTAAAAGAGAAGTTTAGAAGACATATTGTGTTGTATAGTTGTGAGTAATGAAAAACTAATTGATCTAAAATACATCTATCGCTGCATAGATCAACTTTATAACATAATATTAGATCTGAACAACTCAATGAATTATTAATCATTTAAAATCATAAAAATAGGAAATATTAGATTTCGGTACGGCCACGATTAAATAGAGAAGGGCAAGGCTGAGATTGAGTTGAGGAATTGATTACAAGGAAAGTAGATTGAATTAGCTTAAGATTTGGATTAAGATTTTGAATGTTGGGGGAAAGAGGCGAGAGGAGTATACATTGTGTGACGGTGATTCAAAACACCGGAACAGCTATCATTAATTCAACAGTTTTTACATCAACTTTGTAACTGTAACAAGTTCTGACATAGTATTACAGTTGAACAGTGGTTAAACTGTACAAGAAATCAGATATGCGAAATATTAAGGTTATGAGGGAATGAGTTAGGTTGGGTTTAGATTTTCTATTCAAAAATTGAAATAATTAATTAATACTTAATAGATCTGAATCTTTTACATCCTTTTCAACAACTCGTGTCCAGTGTTGCCGCACCGAAGAAAATAAATGTACCAAAAATGCGTACTGAAAATGGAGAAAATGTACTGAATTCTGAGAGAAAATATTGGAGACCTTTTTTTACGTAAGTACAATTGTACCGAATAAGAATTTTGTACTGAATTGCAACTTTCAGGTACTTTATCCCTGCGATCGTACTGAATTCAGTACAATTGTACCGAAACGGCAACACTGCTGCAATTAAATAAATTGACAGGAATTAAACTTGACATAACAAGCAGACAATCTGCAAATCATGGAGAACAGCTATTGAAATTAAATGAAAATCAGCAAGGAGAATTAGACTAGGACGAACCATTTTAAGAAGCAGAAACAACTAGTCCAACATCGCTTAATGTAATGTATGATAAGATAGAATAAATAAATGTGATTCCGAAAAAAGCCCTTGATTTTGACTTTAAACCTGGGGAAGTATTGAAACAGCAAAGAAAGCTACAATTAAGCTAACATACCTTTGAAAATACATAATCTGCTTCATATTCAAATTTGCAAAATTATAGTTGACGAGAAGTGGTCGAGAAAGTGGTGGAAGATAATTCGCGTGGATCCTGTTGTGTCTGGTTCTAGAAAAAATAAATCCTGCAAATAAAGACGTCGAAAATTGAAGAGAATTAATCAGTTGCGGGAGGTTGTGTGCTTTTCAACTTCTCAGATTTGTAATGGTTAATATAACCCAATACTGTCCAATCCCCAAAATAGCATTGGTCTGAATTTATCGAATCTGTTCTTTCGGAGTAGTTTTTAGATTTTCACCAATATTTTTGGCATTGAAATTGTCTAAAACCCTATAGTTATGGATTGAAAGAGTCATAGATAGTCATTGATGTTAGGGTAACATTGATGTTAGGGTAACATTGATAACCACTTTATCTCATTAGCAATAAAGATTAAGGGCCAAATTCATAAACGTCACTAAAGTGACACTCACCCTAAACTCACACTAAGTTGAGGTTAGGCACTAATTTTGGTATTCAAGAACAGTTCAGGACTAATTAGTGACTAACTTTATTCTAACTATAGGTTAAAGATTTAGGGAAAAGTGAGTAAAATTTGAGTGCGCAATCGCGAGCACTAATCTAACCCTAACTGTCATTTTGCTGTTGCTTAATTCGTTTTTTATAGATTTGCTATCATAAATTCCGAAGAAAGCAGTTGTGATTACTCGCGTTTATTAGATTATCATTGTTAGTTGTGTTGTTTTTATAAATTTGATTGTTAGTTATTAGTTACGATTATTATAGTTTTGATTATTACTTATTCTTTCGTTATAAATTCATTCTTTACATCTATCAAAATGGATAATAGAATAGAATTATTATTAGTAAAATTTATTGAACACGCTGAAGATGTTTTTTGCCATGATCGTGCACCAAGGTAAGTAAATAACATAATTTATATACACATAAATAGCTAATACACATCATAAATTCGTTATTAGAATAATTTTAAGAGATGTCGGAAATCCTTTGGAGTCCTACCGCCAAAAAGAGTTGATACAACGTTTTCGGTTTGGTCGTGACATAATCCAAAATATATTATTACCATTGGTTTACCCAAGAGACGTTGCTACAACAAATCGTGGCTTGCCAATTCCACCCATCATAAAACTTTGTACCGCTCTTCGGTTTTATGCAAGTGGAAGTTATCAGGTAATTATAAAAGACATCTTTTATAATTATAGTATAAAGGTAGAGGACAAGTTTAGCATATTATTACATCTTGTACTTACAGAGGATATGTGGGGATTTAGCGCACATCAGCCAGACATCCACTTGCCGAATAATAAATGAGGTGTCGGAATTACTGGCAAGAAATATTGGAAAATATATGAATTTTCCAAGCAGTGAAGCCGAAAAAACCAACCTACGACGAAAATTTTTCGAAATTGGAGGTTTTCCTGGAGTTGTAGGGTGTGTTGACGGGACTCACATAGAAATTAAAAGTCCGGGAGGTGCCAATGTCGAAATATTTAGAAACAGGAAGGGATTTATGTCCTTAAATGTTCAGGTCGTGGCTGGACCAACTTTGAAAATCTTTGATATTGTTATAAGATGGCCTGGGTCTGCACACGATAGCAGGATATTTAATAGCAGCGCTGTAGCTATGAAATTTGAATCGAAGCTATTAACTGGAATATTGTTGGGCGACAGTGCCTACCAGCAAAATCAATTTTTATATTCTCCCATTTTAAATCCACAGACACCACCTGAACAACGATATAATATAGCACATGTTCGTACCAGAAACGTTGTAGAAAGAACGTTTGGCGTTTGGAAAGGACGGTTTCGGTGCCTAACTGGGGCCTTACAATGTAACATAAAAAATGTAACAAGGATTATTGCTGCTACAGCAGTGTTGCATAATATTGCGCAGGATATTGGGGAAGAAATCCCCAATAATAATGAAATTCCGAATGAAGAACGTATTGTGCCAGTTCTTCCTGCCGTGGATCGTCGAAGAGGGAATATAATAAGGAACGCTTTCATACAAAGACATTTCATGTAATAATTTTTAGTTTGTGTACCTTTGTACCTTTCATAATATATTAATTTTGATTACATTTCCTTGACTTTCTAAATATATTTTTTTAAAGTCTCTAATTATTAAAGATGTTCTATACTATTATCGTTTCCATGTATTGTATTAGAAATAATAATGTAGAGGTAATGCAAAGATAAGTTTATTTAATTAAATTTATTACTTATTAATTTCTTTTTTTAATAATTCAATTTCTAATTTTAATTTCTCCTTATTTATCTCATGCAATTCTGCTGCCTGCTGTCTTCTTTCTTCTATTTCTTTCATTTGTGCCTTATGCAATTCGTTGTCATTAATTCTTTGTTGCCTTAATCTCTTCAACCTCATCTCGGCCTCCTCTTCTAAGGCGCTGGCAACCTTCCCTCGACTGCTCCGGACCCTCGGGGTTACTGATATGCGGTGGTGCACTGTCGGAGTATCTTTGAGAAATAAATTCAATATAAAGGTTAAAATAATTACTTTTAAAAGCAAGCACTTGCTGGGTTCAGGGCTAGAGCCTTGCTCGACGACAACTGGTTGGAGTACATTATTTCTATCTAAATTATACTCCGTACTACCACCAGCTGTACAAGTTTCACTATCAATAGCTTCCGACAGTTCAATATCAACAGCATTTAAGACAGCGTCAACCGCATCATCATCTGGGATTGGAACGAATAATCCACCTCCTGTAGCCATCCTTGCCTTCTTTTCAGCGGCTAATTCTTTCTTCCTTCTAGCTTTGATGTTTTCCCAACATTATCTAAGTTGCTCCAATGTACGCTGTCATTCAAAAGAGACACACGTTAAGAAATAAATTAAAATTAGTAGAAAAATTTAACTTACAAAGGTTGTTTCAGCCATAGAATTATATTCTTCGGTAAGATTTTCCCAGGATTTTTTCTTTTTTTTTTGCATTCAATATCATTATATTTACCCACCAAATCTAACAAAATTCTTTTTTCGTCCGCGCTCATAAAGGTTCGTTTTGGTTCCATAACGTCAACAAAACGTCATCGATTGTTATGAAACTTATGACGTTTTCCCTAATTGCACACTAACGTTAGTGACTCTTTATGAATACCAAACTTTAGGGAGAGTGACACTTAAATTCCACTAACCCTAAAGTTAAGTTAGTAATATTTTAGGTTAGTGTTAGTTTAGGTTAAGTGTCACTTTTGGTGACGTTTATGAATTTGGCCCTGAATCTAAACCTCAATTAAGTATATCTAAAATACTACTGATGCGATACCCTAACCAGTTGAATTAGAGTCACAGCCGATGATAAATTTACAGTTACCTCCCCCGGTATCAGTAACAAGTCTTACAACTCCCTGTGAGGAAGATTGATGCCATCGTAACCATTTTATTTTTACAATTAATGATATAGCGTAACCAGGTAACTATACAACTAGTTATTGTACAACTGTTAGGTTATCCTTCTTTATGCTCTATGCTGAAGCAAGAACTGGACACGTATGTCTTTATCATAGATTTTATTAATGCGTCGAAGTTTCAGCCCTAATATGATACCGGTTGCATTAAACTACTTTTAGTACATCATCACATCCAGATACATCAAAGGTGTTGCTGCTTTTGAGAGGTTATGCCAAAAACCATCTAACACCACTAAGATTGGTCGAGATCCCTTGCTTCTAAGCGTCGTCTATTACCTATTTTGAGTTGTTAAGTGATATTAACAAGATTTTATCTTTATTACGTTTAAGCCACTCCGAATCCTACACTCCTATTCCAAAGACAAAGAGTCGCAATGTCGAGTTTTTCTCTCTTTATAATGGAAGAGACACCAGTTGGCAACTATAAGTGCATATTCTGGGGCTGTACAAAAGGAATTATTCACGTTTAGAATTAAATTTGAATTGGGAAGATAGGAAGATCAATTTTCAACCCATACTTATTGTCACACCTTCTAAAAGACGAATTTGCGATACGTTTGCCTTCAGCCACAAGCGGTCATTGTTTGCAAAGTGCAATATCAACTTTGCAAATATCGTTATCTGGGATGGACTTTTTAAAAAGCTTTCATCGCTTCGTATTTGAGCTGCATTTACGATCTCACTGAAATGCCCCAGCTGGAATCTTTTGGGAATTGAGGTTAACGTACAACTGGTAACAAAGAATTACAATAAATGGATTTATTAATTTTTCGAATTTTCTTTTATTTATTCTCTAATTTGTTATATCAATAAAGAGAAATTTTTTTTTGTCCTTCACCAACCATTTTAAAGTTTTTTAATATTTTTCGTACTTTAAAAACTTTACCATCCAGAACTAATTACTTTTAAACCAGTTGTAAATACCTTCAAAAAGTAAAATCCAATTTAGAACTTCTTTAAACTTTAACCAACAATAGTACAACACCACTCTAACTAAGTTACACCCTAAAATTTCTGTTTAACAGATATTGTTCAAGAGTTGACCTTTTCGATAGCTCGTTGGTTTCGTATAAAAAGAAATCGGTTTTGTCTTGTTTTTATTGAATTTTTTATTCTGCTGTTTTTCTTGCATTGAATTTGTCGCCCATATTTCTTTATAATTTATAAATGTTATATTTTTGGATACTTTCATTGGGTTCTACTTAATATATTCTGTAGATTCCGCATATTTCAAAATTAATAAAATAAATAAACCAAGAACTGAAAAATATTCGTTTCGTACAAGTTAGATTACGAGAGTATTAAGAATTATTAATGGATTGTTACTTAGTAGTTAACAGCAATGAATCATATATGTCTCAAACACCGAGTTGCATATGATATACGAGTTTAGACACACCTCATCATTAATATTCCAGTAAATATTTGTGGGAAAATTTTCCACGTTAATGACTCTCGAACGTTGTTACTAATCTGCAGAAAATGGAGAAATCCAAGAAAATAAAATAGTTTCCCGAAACTTCAACAGGTAATTATCTTTTTATTTGAATCGAGTTAAACAACAGGTAATTGAGTTAGTAGCTTAGTTAAAAGTACGTAGTTACTTCAAGAAATATTTGTTTTAAAATTAATCTGATAAAGTAAGATTCTCCGAGAAACTAATTTCAACATCATTTATTCAAGCCCTAACACGTTATTAATCCTAAGTTAAAATAGATTTTAGAGAGAAATAGCTGTTATAATCGATTTTACATTTGCCACAAACCTAAGATAAAGGATATGATTTTCAAATTCAAAATTAAAATATTACGTAATTCTTGTTTTGGTTGAAAGAAATATTAATTCATTTTTAATTAATGGCGATTTTTAATTCAGTAAAAAACTGGTCAACATAATAATTTTAATATTAAATTTATACTCAAATGCCGCTGAGTATAAATATCGCTTCGGATTTTATTTCAAGAATACACAACACCAAATCATGACTGCTATTTTCAATTTTTTAGTGTTCGTAACGTTTTTTATTAGTGTAAAAACGGAATATGCCATTAAATGTGTGGATCCTTCCCCAACTCCATTTTCTATAGAAGGCGAACAAGAAGTAATCAGGTAAATGGTGTGTTATTATTTTGTCAAAATTGGTTATAATTTTAGTTTGTTGCCGCTGAAAATTATTATTTGTACGCTTCAAATATCGAATGTAATAATTGTTGCGTAAAACGTTCTTTTCATCAAATTACACCAGATACTCTTGAAATTACAGAGTCAGCTAGAAAAGGAGAGCATGTGATTAAGATTAAGCGGTTAATTTGATGCAAAATCTTATAAATTTGTATTTTAGGGAAAAATCCGCAAAAACTTTTAAGTACATCGTTCGAAGATATAATAACAGTGCAGTTTATATTCCAGAACATAGTTTGTATTCATTTCATGAGTTAAATATTAATTTAATTTACTATTTATTTACAGAAGAGAAAACCATAATAATAGTTGACTCTGATTCGAAAAGTTATGCAGTGTTATACATTGTTGAGAATAGTTTGTATTGAAAAATAAGTTAATTAATTTGTATAAATTTATCTTTCTCTCTAGATATATTGGAGGTATATACAAGAGTTATAAATCCGAAACCGTTTGATTTAAATAGTTTAGAAGGTGTTAAGAAATGTAATTTGAAGTTATACAAGTCTAATCCAACAGAAAATTGCCAACCAATATAAATTATCAAGATTTTTAAACGGTAATATTTTTGTGCAAAAGGTTTTTATTAAAAAATATAATTAATGTGTAATATTTTATTTTATCCTCATTCTTAAAATCTTACATCGAAAATTTATTTGAATAAAAAATTTCGACTGTAAGAGACAAATATATCAAATTAAAAATCATCGATAAGTAAAAATCACGTTTGTAATACGTTTATTATTTTATTATTGTTGTATGTCTTCGGCAATCATCGAACATGGTACGGAAGCCAAACATTTCTTGATAACAAACGTGTACTGGTGGTAAGATTATTGTCAATAACATGCAATAACAGTTCTGGCTATTGCTATGTACAGGGTGCGGTAAAACTCCCTCCCTAATTTGAAGGTTGAATAAAAAACGGATGGTACAAATTAACGAAACTGTATTAACACGAATGGAATCTACAGAATGGGAAGTTACGTTATTATGTTTTACAAGTTTCTTTTTTGAACAGTATATCACTCAAGTATTTTCCTTCGTTATCAATGCATTGCTGAATGCGAGTTCGGAAGTTACCGTTATGGGAGTGCACAAAACCATCGGGAACTCCATGAAAAGTGTGGTGAGTAATTAACAGTATCGGGATTCTCGGCCCGATAACTCCGATCGATACATTCAAATGCTTCAAACTTTTATGGCACCACGATTCAAAGCGATACAGATTCAACAGGATGTGTGGCTTTAGCAGGATTGGGCCACTGCTCACACAACCAGGAGATCTTTTCAAGAACTGAGGCAGCTGTTCCTAGAACGCTTGATGTCTTTACGCGGAGACATCCATTGGCCAGTACGATCTCCAGACCTTACTCCCTGTGATTTTTTTGTATAGGGGTTTCTTAAAGCTGAAGTTTACAAACATCGTCCGAGGACTCTGCCAGCCCTACGACAAACGATTCAAGAAGAGATTGCTCGTATTCCTCAAGAAATGTTGATTAGAGTAATGGCGAACTTCTGAACCCGCATTCGGCAATGCATTGATAACGAAGGAAATCACTTAAGCGATATACTGTTCAAAAAGAGAAACTTGTAAAACATAATAACATAACTTCCCATTCTGCAGATTCCATTGATGTTAATACAGTTTCGTTAATTTGTACCATCTGTTTTTTATTCAACTTTCAAATTAGGGAGGGAGTTTTGTACGTTTTCGAGGTGGATTATGGATGAGTGCAGAGTAAAAATACCAAATGCTCACGTAAAGACATTGCGAGAGTTACTCGAGTTGTAAGAACATACATCAAACTTAGGATGAAAACTTATTGAAGGTTACTTGAATATAAAATAATGTACATCTCGTCATCTCTTAAATCATGGTCATGAATACTGAATAAATTAAAACCATTATTTAAAGATGGGAAATTGTTAAGTATACTGAAAAGGTTATGATTCCCAAGCAGACAGGAAGGAGACTTGGGATTACTGCAGAGTTTTATGATTTTATTAATCGTTCACAGTTTCTTATTGTATAAAAATGAAATTACGTCTTTGAACAGAACGCTCAGAGAATCACATAGTCGTCCAGAGTTACCAAAATTATCTGATTCATTATAAAGTGATGAATAAAATTAATTTCAAGTAAGCCACTAGTTCTTTATTATCACTATTTTATTGTTTACTATGAATTTAATGTCGATATCACTTCTATCGATAAAGTTATGTTATAATATGTGTTTTATATAGGTATACTAAGAGAAATTGTAGAAACATCCTAACCAAACATGACGATATAATGGTTTGGAGATGATTGTCAATGTGAAGGGTGGCCAATTTACTATTTTGATGAGATATGGCTTAATGAAGCTCATACAAAAGAGAGAACTTGAGTAGATTAATCATTTCGGACCAGGAGGCAGGCATTAATCGAAAGTTTAATTATAGGAGTTATCAAAAACCAAATAAAATGTCTTTAAGCTTAAAGTGATATGGTATATTGCATATCAGTGGAATCAACAAAGATGTTACCCGATGAATATTTAGTTTGGAATTTTGGAACTGCTAATGCTACGTTCTATATCAGGCATACAAAAAATATAGAATTGTGGTATACAGTGTGTTAATTAATTATCGTACCCGACGTCATCATTACAAGTATGCAACCAATATCACAGTATTGGTATCGCAATACGCAAATCGAATATTGTATAGTTCGTTTTTTTTTCTATAATACTTGTCAATGTAAATTTTTTAGGGTTTCTGTTGGTGTTATCTAGGACCCTTATAAAATTTATGTTGTTTTCTTGATTTTTAGTAACATTTTCAGTAACTAAATAGTTGAGGTTAAAATACTAATAAATTTTAAGATTAATACGATTTTAACGAAGTACATATTTATTGTAAAAACGTGCTACAAAGTAATTAAATAGAACAAAACACCTTTTTTCTTCAAACGTCATTAAATGACAACTTTGTTGTCGTGTTTACTCGCGGTAGAAGTAAGTCATTGTTGCATAACGACGGTTGCTAAGATCAACATAGCAAAAAAGTACTTCAGCGTTATGGCGCTAAAGTAAATTTCACTTTAGCGCCATAACGTTGAAGAACATTTCACTTTAGCGCCGTATTATTTGCAACGTTTGAAGAAAAAATACTATGTTTTATTCGGAAGAGAAGCAGATTCGTTTGTGGCTGGTCCGTCATTGCCGGACTCACTTCGTTCGTCCGGAAAACTGTCGGACACGCCACAATTTTAACGGCTCATCTGTCATTAGCGACTCACTGCGTTCGTCGCTAAGCGACAGACCACGCCATAAAAAGCACTGCTTCTCTTCCATATAAAACAATATACTATTCTAGGTAAATAAATGGCAAATAAACACCCCACAACATTTCTTATGCACCTTTTCTTTTTGAATAACGAAAACTCAAACCAGACTCAAACGTCAGTGTCACATATCTATTTCAAAATATGATAAAACAAAACTCCCTGTTAATTTTGCCAACTTTACAACGATTTCACAGGTATTATAGAAAAAAATGATCTATAATACCAATGCTGTGATATTGGTTGCATACTTGCAATGATGACGTCGGGTACGATAATTAATTAATACAGTGTACATTAGACAGGATCATTGCAAAAAGATCATAATAACTTTTAAAATAATTTATTATTAGCTATTCATCAACAATCACAAACACTCCAGATAAAACTCTTATTTTTCCTCGTTACTCATTTAAATTACCGCCTACATCTTTATTTTATTATAACAAAACGTAACGCTAGTTGCTTATAATTTAACGTTGGCGACTACGTCCTTCTTATTGTCAGAGACTGACCGCTTAAACTAAAATTTATCCACGCTCAATAATAGCATCATCGTTTAAAGATTACATTTTAAAGTTATTTACGCATATTTAATCGTTTCCTTTTTCTTTGCCTTTTCCAAAAATCCATCTAAAAAAGAAATAAACCAAAAACATTCTTTGTTTTTTTTAATTCTTTTAATAGTTTTACTTTGTTTCTTACATTCTTAAATTTTACGATGACAAAAAAGACCAATCCTCGTTTCAGGTGATATGGTTCAGGTCTCTAAGATTGTCCGCTAACTACACAGCGCAATCTTCGAACTATAAGTTCTAAATTTATTTTTATTAGCTCTAGTGCCTACGATTATAAGCGTTATCAACTGTTTAATTCTTCACTTTTTTAATTCAAATTAATATTATTTTTTAATGAATTTCTTTTTTTTTGTTACAGTTTAAATTTTTTGAAGACTTCAATCACAGAGTTCTGCTACAAACTACTTTGGTTAATTTTCTTCTTTTTTACATGAATCGATCTCGATTTTTTTTTAATCTTTGTGGTGTAATTATTTAATACACCGCCGTTTACAATTAATTTCCTTTTCATTATTTTTTAAATAATTGTTTTTAACGCACTGTTCCGGTGAAGGCAGTGTTGCAAATTTCCTTTTTTTATTGCGGTTAATCGGCCGACGAGGTTGATATGCGTTTATTGAGATGCCCTAAAATAGACGACAAAGCACGTTGAACACGAAAGATCAAATTTTTACGATCGATCTAAATTTGTATTTACAAAAGGTTTAATTAATTTTGTTCACAGAACTGTTTTTATTTCGCATACGTCATTGTCGGTTATTCATTCAAACATTTTTTTATTAAAGAGTTATTTTTTAGTCTTATACACACAATTTATATCTCACCATTTAAATTACTAATATAGTAATAACGTTTTTTGGTAATTCGTAAATTATTTTTTATTATAAAAAAATCATTTTGATTTCTAATTTCTTCTATTTCTTTAGTTACTTTTTTATTTCAATTTTCTTTTTTAATTAATTACTTTAACTATGTACATATTTATAGTGTTATCGCGAATATATTTTATAAGATTCGTATCAAACGTAGGAGCGACCATTTCGTAAAGCACTGATCCATGGGATGGGGATCTCTTTGATTTCTTTCCAGCGTCCAAAACAGGTACCTATCACGATCACAATTTCTAGTGTTACGCAAAATTCTTTAAATTGGTCCTAAGTGTACGGTCGTTTTTTACTTTTTCTTAACGGTTCCTTCCGAGCCCGTAAATATCATATTTATAGCGAAAAACGAATAGCTTAGGTAACTGTTAACAATTATTGTCGCGCCTTATAATTAATAATCAATAATTATAATCAAACAGAGCAAATTGCCACTTAGCAATCGATAAAGAGAGCCGGTTAGAACACGTTTTGATTTCTTCCTTCACCCTAACTTTTTTTAATCTCTCCTTTTATGATTGTTCCCTATCTTGATTTATATTCTTTTTGTTTTTTAGTTGGCAGTTTCTGGTAGATTATTTATTTTTCGGTTCGATGGCGTTTTTAGTTTTATTTTAAATTTTTTAGTGGCAGTAATGTTTTTTTGCAACAATTATACAGGTAGGACGGTAACAAATTACGAAGAATATTTTCTTTTTCGATTTAGACACAATTTCATAATCAAACCTAAAACACTTAAACGTATCATGATTCCCTTTTAAAAAGCAACCCTATTTTATATAATTAAAAAAAACCTTCATTCACATCATTTCTTGTACAAATACATTATACTTGACGCTCTTTCAAAAACAACCACCAGGAAAGTCGACGTCTGGAACCCCATAATCGTAATGATTATTATATCCACCTCCAACTATTTCCACCAGAGAGGTAAATTGTCGGAATATTTTCAATTCTGCACGTTCTATTGAAACGCGACCCGGACGAAGACGTCGTCGAAACGACTTCGTCGTCACACCGTCGTAACGCGGTCGACTTCAACATAACGTACAGAATTGTCGCTGTGTCAGCAAATCACCCCCTTCTCGTCAACGATGGCGGTATCCGAAGAGAGGCTTTTCAAACGTGTTTGTAGAATAGAACGGGGTCTTCGACGACACTTTCGGTACGCAACGTAACAAGATGAAAAACACGTCGCCAAAATGCAAACGACAAGTAGAAAGAGGTATAACGGCGGTAATTGGAGGATTACGGAACAATGCGTTAAAGATTCGTCGACTCCTGAGGGACAATCTTCGCGACCATCGCACCAAACCGTTGTATTTATACAAGCGTCGAGTTCTGGACATCGATGTTCGCAATCGTCGTGCATCATTATTATTAATCCCATTCCGTTTGGTGGGATTTCTTTACGCCTGCAAAAAATTAAAAGAAAACAGTTTTAATAAATTAATTAATCATTAAATTTTACATAACATTTCAGTATAATTTTCTGAACCGTAATATAAGTTTAAAGTATAACAATTAAGACGGGAAGAACTAGATATGCATGATGTTATTAGATTCCTAAGACGAGCATACTGGAGGGACCGTATCGAAAAAATGGAACGACGATCAATGTTAGGATGCACATTTAAGTTTATTGCAGAAGATTATTTACTGGAAAAAAGTTAGTAAAGACTAAATACAGCTTGCAGAACACTGGAAGCAGCTGGTGAAGGTCTAGATGTCACTAAAAGAAGATTAGATTCTTACAGAAGACTGCTTACTGAAGACTTACAGTAGAAAAGTATTGCTGACAGAAGTCTAGATACTTGCTGAAAACTGCTTACTACGTGCAGAATATTATACACTTCTGGTAAAAGTTTAAGTACTCCTGTCAGAAGATTAGATACTGGTAATTGACCACTAGATCTGTTTGTAAGAAGACTAAATACTGCTGGCGGAGCACTAGTTGCTACAGCAAGATAATAAATATTTACTGAGGACTGCTTACTGTTTACAGAAAATTAGATTCTACTAGCAGGAAGTGCTGCTGGCAGAAATCTAGATGCTGGTAACGGAAAATTATATATACTTCGTGAAGACTGCGTACTACTTGCAGAAAATTAGATACTACTGGAAGAAGTTTAAGTACTGTTGACAGAAAATTTGATACTGCCGATGAAAGAACAGATGATTCTAGAGAAGTAACAGCGAGTAAAAGGATAACCTTGCAAAAAACTAAAAACTGCTTGAATAAGACAAGGTGCTGCTAATGAAAGAGTGCAGTAAACTACTTACTGGTTGCAGAAGACTATATACTCCTTTCAAAACACTATTACTGGCCGAAAACCGGATATCAATAAGGCTGACAGTAGATCATATTCTTCTGATAGAAGACTAAATACTAGTGATGGAACGGATAGTGATTTTGCGAAAAGCCGCATACCGGATATTCGGCATCCTCTTCGGCTATAGATACAAAATGAACTTTTTTGATGCTGATTTAACTCACAAAGCAACTTTAAAAAGAGGATACTTTAATTAATAATTAGTGATATTTCCACAAGGATCCTTCAAGAAATGAATATTATAACGAATTTTGAAAGTTATGAAAATTGCAACATCGAAAATTTTATCAAAACTTCAAATATTGTTTTCTCAAAAACTAACAGTTATTTTTCAAAACGGGTTAGTTCATTGGAAAGAGGACACTCTTATTAACACTTTGGGAAATTTTCATACTCATATTCCAAGAAATTGATTTTATACGAATTTTTAAAACTTTATCGGCGAAAATTGCAAAATTCTAAAAAATTGTCGATTAATTCAAAAATTTATTTCTCAAAAACTAAAAGTGATTTTTCAAAACGTATTGGTTCATTGGAAAGAGGACACTCTTATTAACACTATGGGAAATTTTCATACTCATATTCCAAGAACTGGATTTTATACGAATTTTTAAAACTTAACTGGCGAAAATTGCGAAATTCGAAAAAATTTTCGATCATTTCAAAAATTTATTTCTCAAAAACGACAAACGATTTTTCAAAACGGCTTATTGCATTAAAAAGAGGATACTTTTATTAATAATTGGTGATATTTCCACAAGAATCCTTCAAGAAATTAATTTTATAGCGAAGTTTGAAAGTTATCGATGAAAATTGCAACATCGAAAATTTTATCAAAACTTCAAATATTGTTGTCTCAAAAACTAAAAGTTATTTTTCAAAGCAGGTTGGTTTATTGGAAAGAGGAGAACTCTTATTAACACTTTGGGAAATTTTCATATTCATATTCCAAGAAATTGATTTTATACGAATTTATAAAATGTAATCGACGAAAATTGCAAAATTCGGAAAAATTGTCCATTATTTCAAAAATTTATTTCTCAAGAACTAAAAGTGATTTTTCAAAACGGCTTTTTGCATTAAAAAGAGGATACTTTAACTAATAATTGGTGATATTTCCACAAGAATCCTGCAAGAAATTAATTTTATAGCGAATTTTGAAAGTTATCGATGAAAATTGCAACATCGAAAATTTTATCAAAACTTTAAATATTGTTGTCTCAAAAACTAAAAGTTACTTTTCAAAACGGGTTGGTTCATTGGAAAGAGGACACTCTTATTAACACTTTCGGAAATTTTCATTCGATTATTATCTGCAGTGTCCAACACCTAAAAGAGATATTAATTCCTGTGAATGGTGGAGTACTATGTAATAGGATTTTAATATCCGGCCAAAGCCGGATATTTGGTAATTATCCGGTATCCGGCCGGATAGTTACCGGATATCTGTTCCACCACTACTAAATACTATAATAATATAGATCGTACGAAATCTGAATACTGCTTTTAAAAGTATTATAGAAGCTTTCTTCGCTGATTTTAATTATTACGAAATGCCTCAACAAAATATTGGCAACATTACACGGATTCGGATTACAGTTTAAAACAACAAAGAATCCAGAGAGTTAAGCTAATGTTGAAAGGTTCCATTCGACTTTATTGGAGTATTTGATACGTCTTGAAGATGATATATTTTATTTAATTTGTTAAATCGGTCTTCTAGTTTATGGTTGAAAAAAGATTACATTGGACTAAGCATTTTAATTTATATAATAAAATTGAATTTTGCAAGGACTTGGGTTGACTCCAATTCTTAGACTTGGATAAAGTAGACATTCATATATTTCAGAATCTTATTGTTATATCGTTCGTTTCCAAAATGTTTGTAACCAGCTAAATTACAACCATAAATTATTTGTTTATAATGAAACTCTTATACAACTAAAGATACTTCAATTACCATGGAAATCAGTTAAAAACTATTAATTAACCAAACAAGTACTGTTTGTTTATAACTCGAGGTATGCTACAAATAATAAATGTGCATCCGCACATAACAGTAAACTTTTGTTAACTACACTGTTAGTGACAAGTTTTCAGTTCTATTTCATGTGATGGACATTTCCGAGTTTATAGTTTCAGTCTAATTGTAAAAATGTGTTTCCCATAATTTAATGTTATAAAATTTTATTTCGAACAAAGTTTGAAGTTTTAAAACAGCCGTATTTTTAACGTTTCATAAAAAGTACGTTTTTAATGAAAGTAAAAAATGAAAATTATCAACATTAAAAATACGTTTGGATCGAAAATCTTTTCTCTTTTTTTGTAAAGGACTACAATTTGTACAAAGTTCTTTTTTCGTTCTTCAAAAACTCATTCCAATAGTACTTTTCTCATTTGCGGTCGCAGAACAAAGCTCTAATAACCCCGAGGCACGGCGCCAATAAAGCCTCGCTAAGTTAAATTGCCGGCAATATTTCGCCCCCGCGTTTACGAGAAGTCATAAAACTCCGAAGTTTGCGTAGCCTGGATATTGGAGGTTCGTGGGAACCGGACAACGCCGTTCAAAACGGAAATCGAAAAATATATTTACTTATAAGGAAACTAGTCGTCCGGTTCGAGCATGTTTCCATTTAAATGCAAATCAAGAGATTCCCTTTCGATCTCCGTCTTTCTTCAATTCGGAATAACCGTAAAACTTTTTTGATTCATCCGAAAAATTAAAATAATATCGTTCGAGGACTTACCGTCTACTCAATTCCAACCACGTAACTGAATAAGTAGCATCTTCTTTCCCGAGAAATTCTATCATAATACTTCTGGAAAGCTCTTTTCCCAAATGGTCAATTGAAATCTTATCAACAGATAGTGGTCGATCTTTATTAGCCATCCATCCTTCGGAGAATACCTCGACTAGATTACGTCTTGAAGATGACTCGTACGGGCATATTATAGCCGAATAAATTGGGGTGTGAACCGTTATCCGATTCGGAGTCTCACATTTCATTTGAGATACAGTTGTCTCATTACCTTGTCTATTTAGTTGTTTTAGGATAATCCCATTGATTTTCACGTAGAGGTACTTGTGAGGTGATGGAATAATAGCATTCGGGAAGCTTTCGCAGTTAATCTAAAATTATCAATATATTAATAAATTAATTTAAAACCATTACCTTGCACTAATTATCACGTACTAATTTATACAGTTGTAACTTTCAATTAAAGACATGTTACGAGATAATTTACGACGATTAAATTACACTATGAATAGATTTGTAATTCAAATTTGAAATTTAGAATCAAAAAACAAGAATAAATGATGTGATATCAAAAGGGTAATAAATCGCTTCATTGATTCATGGTTCTTTTCCATTGAAAGAGCCCGAAGGCAAGAAATATATGGATTGCTATTTCTGGACCGATGTAATGAGGTAACTTATTGAATAAAATCGCATCAGCTCAAGGATTTTATCTAGATGAATTTATGAATAAAATATAACGAAATATTCATTAATTTTCTACTAGTAAACATTTATGTTTTATTCTTACCTCATCGGCGTTCTCGGTTGGATGTTTAAGTAATATTTCCCCGCTCGGGCCATTCTTTTTCATATTAAGCGTACATTCTGGTGTTCTAATAAATTTCCATGATCCTTCAAAGAATAATGTAGTGTAATCATCCGATGCGTTCATATTAATCACATTAAAACGTAATTCGACGATATTTGACGTGGAAACGTAGGTGTAAGGTTGATCTGATTGGTCGTCGGAGCAAAGACAATCTCGAGGTACTCCTGGAACGTCAGACCAAGGAATGTCGAAGAATCTTATAGTGGCAGTGGTGTTTCCGTAACATTGGAAGCGATCTGTGTCTTGAGAAAAACGCGTTTTGCACGATCGATTTTTTATAACCAATTGAGATAATGTAATTTTTACTTTTTCCCCTCTGTGCGCTTCAAAACGATATACGCAGCTAAAATTGAAAAAAAAAATTTATAAAGGGAAAAATACATACCCTCATCCCGAATATAAAAATAAAATTAGGGGGAATCCTCTTACCTAATATTTTTTGCGCCGCCCCGTCCATAAAGAAAAATGTCTTTCGGCGCTTGAAATTTTTTCTGGGCATCCTGAAGGTTCGTAAACCTGCGATTGCAAGGCCCCTCGCCGAATGGCTCTCCGTCCAAGTGAAGGTCGACGAATTCGTATAGGGCACGAAACTTTACTGGCCTGGAAGTCAAGGGGAATGTGAAAGAGGTTAAAAGAGGGTGAATTTGTAGGGAGATTTTTCCGGGTCAGTAAATAAGATTAAATTTTTGGAGCTTCTATGAATATTTTTTGCTTTGCATACATAGCACATGTGTAAAATGAAATTTATTTTTATTATAGTAATAAAAACTCGATAAATGCAACATTTGTAAATGCAATATTTAGTTTCCATATTTACAAAAGTTAATAAATTTAAGGTTATTAAGCAGATTATCGTTTGTCGATAAAAACCTTCTTCATTTCAAAGATATATGCCAATCCATCAAATGTTAGCATACGCATGATTCTTTCAATATGAAAAGCATGATAGAGGTATATTATCAAATCGAGGCTTCAATCACCTTACGCAACAAAGAGTTGAAGACTGCTTGCTACTTACAGAAGATTAAATACTGCTAATATAATACAAAATCTGCCGGTAAAAGACCAAAATACTGCTTGCAAAATAGTATATACTCCTTGCTGTAGATTAGATGCTATTGCGGAAAGTTTAAATACTGCTGATAGAAGATTACATATTGCTAATACAAGACCAGATCCATCTAGAGCAGTTATAGTAAATAACAGACCATATAGTGCTGGCAAACGACTAGATATTGCAAATGGATATTTGCATTTAAATGGATATAATAAGGGATTTATTAAAATACACGATGAACATGGAATCCATTATATGTAAACTTGCAAATGGAATACCAAATCTGCTTGCATACCAAATTACTTGAAGTAATCTATTTGCTTTTTGCAAAAAACTAATTAGTCCCTGCAAGAGACTATACACTGCTTGCAGTATATAAATCTGAATAAATCCAGTCTTATTCATACATCTTTAAAAATAATCCTTCTCATTTTTCACTTATTTTCGTGGTACACACTATACGTATAATAAAATTCAACTCTATAATTTAGGTTGCTACCAACGCTATTACCTAATAACATATTTCCGTACTATTATTGGTTGTGAACTATGGGTTTTTCTTTTTGCCAACCTATCCGCATGCTTGTTGCGCAACAAGACGGTGTTAGAACAACGCTAATACATAGCTGTATTCATCTATTGTACATGAAACTTATTGTATGTGGACGGAAGGCTAAATATTGCTAATGTCAAAATAGATACTTCTAACAGAATACTAACAGAATACATCTGGCAGAAAATTAGATATTAGATAAAGACGAGCTACAAAGAGAAAACTAGATACTTGCAAAAGATGCTAATGGAATACAGGTCCTTTTACAGAATTCACAACGACTACAAGAGTATATACTGCTGACTGCAGACTAGGTACTGTGAATAGAATATTACATCTGTAGATACACTACTGAAAGAAGATCATATCCTTCTGAAAATAGATTAAAAACTGCATACAGCATAATAAAAGTTACAGAAACAAAGACACTACTAATAATAATTCTGCCAGTTGAAGACAGAGTGCTCCTTATACGAGACTAAATATTGCTTTCAGAAGACTAACTACTGCTATAAGAATAAAAAGTAAGAATCGAACAGATATTGTGGCAGCTTCCCTCGTTTATCTTAAATATTGCAGATTTCCTCTAGAAATTCGCTTGCTCAATAGTATTGAAGTATTTGAATTGTCTTGAATTGCGTATAATAATATAATCAATCAGGAGAAAATGACATGTTAAGAAGATTAAGCATCAACAATGCTTAAGCTTATATTGGTGTAAATATTCTATCACTTGTGTAATTGAGGGAAAGCTGCAATTTCTCAAAAAGTCGTAATCCAGTTGTTCTAACTGAACACGGACTGGACGTGAGGACTGCTGACTTATGTAGGTCATTTGTCAATAATAAAAAGGGTTCACGTTAATCTTTGAAATTCCTTAGGCTTATTATAGAACACTTCACGTCAGTTCTTATATTTCACAATGATTTTCAGTTAATATAATTCTTCTGTAATATATTGCATTACTTTGTTCATTGGATAATACCATATTGTAATAAAATATTTACAATAATTCAATCTAATTTGAACTTTCTAAGACTGCAGACTGTTTGGGTGAATACTGTCGCTTTAACACATTTTACCTGGCTATGACAAATGTCAAAAAAATACATTAACTTGGAAACGTTACCTTCTCAACATTCGTTGCAACTCTGGATTAATATCAAATTCATCGTGCATTTATGGCCAAGAAGTTGTTACAGATCTACGGATTTTTGTCAGAATTATTAGGAACTGCACTAACTTAAAAATGTATGAAACTCCATGTATGCTGTTTATTGTAATCACATTGAAACAATTCAACATGGCTTTGTACATTACTTGGAAAGTATATTTTAGCTTACTGCGAAAGTGATGGACATTAGATTATTGTCTTTAGCTTGTTGTCTCTGCATTAGTATCAGATTGTTTCTGATTTGCTCTTACTTCTTAAACTTACTTATGGCATTCTAGACACCACTACGATCTTCAATGTATCACAACCGTTTGTATGCCCAACCCACCTAATCTTTTTTAATATCACAATTCTTTCATATTCATGAATCCCATAATCAGGGATTCAATCATCGCTGTTGCTTTGAAACCGTGATATGCTTATTTAGGAGATGTATTCTTAGTATTGTATAGCTGATGACAACCCAACCCAACCTTACCTTTATTTTGATACTTTTTGGTTTCACTTCTATGTTACACTTTTCAGTAGTACTTTCCAGATAATAAAGTAGATCAAATATCGTATATCGCAAGATGTTGAGAATGTTGAGAAAATCTATTAAATTTCAAAACAATCTGCAAAGATACATAGATCAGTTTTGTGTTGTAAAATAAATTTTCACAATACGGATGCGTTGATGAATCATATCCTTTTATCATATGAATATTCTGTATTCTTCTCAGAAAGCTTTAAACTCATATTTAACTTTATAATATAAATGAAAATGATGAAAATTAAACAATTGTTGTGATTATCGAATTTTTATTCTACAAAGCATTGAAAATTTGGAAACTATTTCATTCTATTGTAAAAATGTATTCGTTGTGACCATAAAAACTACGTTTTCAGAATCGTAATCGACCGTCAAATAAATATCGATTTATAGGCACCACGATTGCAGTCGTTTATCACACTTTTGCGCAGTCCCTTACGGACCGATATATTCCAAGAGGCCCGAAGAGGCCTTCTCGGTAGTCTCCTACACCCGACCGTCTATAAATTTCAATTGAAATGCACGGGTAGGAGTGAAATATTGCGCCGTTCCACCAATGGCGGTCAATTTACGGAAATAAACCACAATTACTGAACGTCCCGGTTAATTAAATGAACGTACCTAAGAGCCGTAGCGTCAGCCATCCGAAGTTCTAACGTGATGCTATCCCCCGCCGAAAGAAAGCTTTCCGATAACGTGCACGGTCTTGGAAATCTCGTTTCGTTTGCCAACATGGAATGGTCGCACGTTCTGGGCATGTGTTCTTTACAGTAACGGGCCAACAAGGTCACGTTCTTGTTCCCGGTGGATGACTGGGATGACTTTTGGATGTTCTTCGACTTATCTTTTCCAGTGTTGCTGAAACAAGCCTGGCGTATAAATGGAAACAGTTAAAACAACTCCCAAAAGGTATTTCTTCTAGATACGATGGAATATTTACCAGGATAAACCGTTACAATTCGTCGGAGTCCAAAGTTGCCCATCCCATACATTTAAATAACTACGACATATCTCCTGATCGGGTTTTTGAACATTCGTTGGTGCGCTAACGTGAAATTTCACAACGGATAACCAGACACGATAACGCGGAGGTGGAAAAACGATTGCAGATTCTCGCCAATATCCGTCTGGATATCGAGGTTGCAACGTTCGGAATGGAATGGGCGATGGAGATGCCGCCGTATCGATACCTTGCAAGTGATAGAGGCACGTGGTGTTTGCCGGAACGGAATGTAGAGGCGTCTCTAAGACTCCTCGAGTTGTTCCGCGTATCCAAAATTCGCAATTTCGCTTTGTTTTTGCAAAAACCGGCGCTTGCACATCAACAAACTTTACCTATGTAATAACAAAAACTTGTTACAGTAAACAAAAATAGACTTGCAGAAAATACTGACCTCAACTTCGAGTTGAAAACCATGTAAACTTTGTAACGGAGTCGGGTGAAGGAACGTTCCATAAGGGGATGTTGAAAATTCGACGAGAAGTTCGTGCCCACTAGAAACAGCTTCTGGAACGGCTTCCCCGCTACCGCAAAACTTCAAAATAACAGGATCCCGTGTTGTATATCCATCGTAAACGGTCACATAATCCTGGACGTCATCGCAAGCGTTCCATACTTTTAACTCTCGGGTACTAGCTGTTCCATATAAAGCCGATTGGCTCCGGATGGAAATAAGTTGTCCCTTGGGTTGTTTTACCGTTATTAAGGCGTGTTTTCCCGGCAGAATTTCATGCTGACGAATAGCGTAGTAACACGTCAAGTTACGGGGATAAACCCCAGGAAAATTTGGCGATTGAAGTCGACAACGTTTCTTGTCGCAGTCGCTGAAAATCCGAGAGCAGTATGTCCCAGTTATGAGATCTCCCAAATAGTATTCGTCGTCCTCTTCGCTTTCTGAAGTAGGGGACGTCGTGTTGACGTAAGGATTTCCTTAAAAAGAAAATAAAATGAAATTCCATTTCCAGACAATTTCGAGCATATAAGAAAATTGATTAATATTATAATGACTCTGCATAATTAATATAAAACGAAACATATTTTATGGGTAAAACAAATATTAAGCTGATTTAACATCCCTTTTCAGTCGAGTTCGTTCCTTTGAAACGTTCTCTCTGTTCACTGCGTCTCGAATTTACCGGAAAATTGGAAGCCACGAAACTCAGAAGGGTTTTTTACCACAGCGGTTAAATGTAAACACAGTCTCTTGTAAACACAGGTACTCCCTACCTCCACAAAGGGCTTACCTAATGGGGTGCGGTATAAGTACTTTTGTAAGACAGACAATATCTTTCTCTTTGTTGTAGTACTGGAATTGTAATAATAAGTTTACTAGTCTTGCAGGGTCTTAATAGAAATTAATAAAAGTATGCTAATATTAACTTACCCGTTCCATATCTAACCATAGCAGTATTCTTCTTAAGAAATTTATACTCCATCCGAAAATCGAAATTGTAACCATTCTGATCTTTAGATAATCGAAATAAGCTGACGTAGATAGACACACTATTCGTCTCGCTATAATATATGGAGGGCCCCCAAGAAGTTCCGCACCAAGAGCCCCCGACTTGGGGCCGGTTAGACTCTGAGATTTGTAAGGCACCATCAGGACAACCGTCTGATGTAAAAGAGACAAAGCGACCGAGGGTAAAGCTGTCGAACGTCAACTGAAACGGAAAGAAAAACAGATTGAAGCTAATCCGTGCATTTAATTGGAATTCCTTCCGCATTATAAAGCCTCTCGTCTCGTCTCATTCGAAGGGACGATTTCCACTCAAAATTGAATATGCACGGTGATGGCACTTTGATGGTACTCGGTTTGAATCCGCTGCAGGTAATAGACGAGTACATCCTCATGCAATTAGCTTGGGGATTGTTACGGCACAATGGAATTTGAATGAGGAAGATTTTAACGTAAAAAAGAAAATAAGTTGCGAAATAGTAGCGTTTGGTGAAATCCTTAAAAATATAGACCTCTCAGCTGGAGTTAATAGTGTACATTGTAGGTGATCTAGGGGAAGCGCTGACATCCCAGGGGATAACAAATTGTGCGCGGTTAGAAAATTGGCACGGCTTCGTAGGTATTGTCTGCATTTCCCATTGTTTGAACAGTTTATCGCAGCCGTCCCGCCTAAACATCTCTTCGTTTCCATCAAGTTTCACCAACCGACCCAGTTTTAAACGGTTTAAGTACGAATCAATTATCCTCTCGTAGACGTTTAGAATTTATATACTCGATTCGCACGGTTCAATTTTATTTTCTATTCGAGGACGGTTATCGAGGATCACAATCGTCAACGTGAGAGCTCATTCTGCGGCGTGCATTCCAACATTCCGACTCGTTTAGTATGGATTGCACGTGAAAATTGATTTTATGAGCATCGCTGCAGTGGCGTGAGTACTAGCGTAAAACTGAAAACAATTTTTATCTGGAATATTTGTTGTTATGTTTCAACTCAGCTTTCTCTCGTTTATATATCAATCATGTTTTAAAGTTTTAAAACTTTCCAATATATAAAGTAATTTTTGAACACACGTTATGTTTTTCAGGATTTCCAGGACATCTATTCCTGAACAATTATTTGAACGACGTAGGGAAGAATTGAAACAATTTGCAAAACTACAAGAAAAACTTCTATCCTAATTATATCCTCAATTTTCTTAAAGTTTTTGTTGGCAAAGTTACTAAAATTTTCTGCCACTACTTTTTGACTACAAAAAGCTAATCCGTGACTCGCAAATGTTGCATCGCAGTCGCCACATAACACAAGGAAAATCACGGTTTGCGGTAAAGGATTAACTCGACTGTTCAATCGTGAAATTCAAGACGTTTTGGAATGTCTTGATCTCCACTGCTGCCGAGAATGTTACAACCATCGTACAGATGTCTCCTGTAGACAAGGATGTTCTCTATCTCGTTCAAAGTCGGAATCTCTATCTCTATAGTTCTCGTATTATTATTGCGTGGTTTTCATCGTGGCAAATTCGTAATGAATTTATGATAGGGAACTACGTAGGATTTTTATAAAATATTGATTTTTGACGAAATGATGCCAATTTTACAAGAAATGTCATATTTATTGATAAAAATGATTGTAAAACAGACAATTTTAGATACACCGAAAAACGACTGCGTACTTTCCTGGAATAAGATGTTACAAACTTAAAAAAATAATTTTTGAAAATTCGTTGAAAAATGTGGGAGTCATAATGCGTACACGTTGGACAATGTAGTTTTCAGAGAAAGACGTTTAATGTTGACTAATACGAAAAATCATATATTTTCTTTCAAAACCTCTAATCAGCGAATCCTGCCCCACACATCTCTTCTTCCTGAAGGTTATTTTCTGTATAACAATATATCGTTAGCCTCAGCGGTCATCAAAACTCTCTTCCAATTGGTAACTTTAGTACTTACATTATTTGCATAATGCTTGTAAGACCATGATTAAAATTGCAAATAGCAATATGCCAACGCAATACCAACCACTTTCTTGCTACTATGAACCATTTTTGATAACATAGACCAGTGTTCTTCAACCTTTGTCATTGCGCGGAACCCTTTTTCAAGATAATTTTTTTATGGAACCCTTCATACAGTAACAAACCCAGATTTGATGTTACGGATTGATGTGTCGTATTATAATTACATATTACATGTTGTGAACAAGATGCGTCTCTTCTTCGGTTGTAAAAACTCTATACAAGAGTAACTAACTTGTGTTTTTTCAAACAAAAAGATAAATATTTCTTATAAAATATAAATATGTCATAAGCATAGTAAAGTGCTTGTTTATTACTGCACAATTTATCAATATCTAGACGAATCGATGTTAAATGGAGACGCATATCATTTTCAGCATCAAGTACTTCGTTTTTGTAGCGACGTATGTGGAAAAGGATTTCTCACAACGATTCTTTTACGGCACATTTGGAAATTTCCGGATATTCATCCAATAATTTTATCCAAAATGGACCAACGCCATCATGTGCAAATGTAGATTTTAATGTGGTGTCGGTACGTATATCTATAAGTTGTTCTCTTTCCTTAATTGGGAATTAGGAATCATTAATTGGGAATCTACAACACTGCACTCATTAAAATTATTTTCAATCCAACTTAAATTATTCCAAGTAGGGGGAAAATATTCTGGTCGAATACGATAATATTGGTTGCTAAGAAATCGTTTAAATTAGCAAAAAATTCTGTACTATTTTTGGTGATGCATTCCTCCCAAAACGTAAGTTTAAATTTTATCGATTTTACTTTGCTATCGACCTTAAAAGTTATAGTATTTGGTCCTCGAAGTGAAAGATTAACGTCGTTCAAGTACTAAAATATGTCTGCAAGGTTGGCTAAATTTTGAAACCAACTAGTGTCATTAAGTTTTGTAGCAAATTCACACTTAAAAAGATACGAATTTCATCAAGCTATTATTAATGGGTTAGAACCATTCCCTTCGATAATCATCTTACATCAGTATGAAGAAGGAGATTTTTATGTAAGGTTCCAGGTCATCACACAATAGGGTAAATACCCTGGTATTTAGGGGTCTGGATTTGATGAAATTAACCAATTTAACGACGTCATTAACAACTTCTTGGCTCCAACCATACCTTTGGCTTCATCACTACATATATGATGGCATAAATTCCAAGAAATTGAATATTTTTCAAGTTTAAGTAAATTAAATATTTCTTCGCATGTTGTTTGAGCTGTCAAAGCTTTACATAAAAGCATATCTTCCTTAAAAGAGGATTCGTATTTGTATCTAACGAAAATTAACAAAATTGCTAATGCAGCAACATCTGCAGATTCATCCATTTGTAAAGTAAAGCCATCCTTAGCGTGTTTCAAACCATTCACTAGTTCCGCTGCGCAGAAATCTGACATGTCTTTAATTCGTCGTGAAATCGTCGTATCTGATAATGGGACAAGGTTTTTCTTGCAAATTTTTCACCTATCATGAATATGATTAAATCCATTTTTCTGCTATCATGTAAGCTTCGCCTTGTTTAGCTACGCGCCAATTAATTAAATATGATGCTTTTAGTACATTTTTTATTATCATCACGAACATACCTTTGAAAAGTATTCCTTTTCTGATTTAGTTCAATACATTTTCTTTTAAAATATTCGCTTTTACCTTTCAAAGTCGGATGTTTAGTTTCCAAATGATACTTTAATTTTGCAGGATTTAAACTGCTGTTGTTTACTAGTTGTTCATATATTACACAAAACCCATTTGGCTCATTTTTACCGCCAATCCACGTAAATCCAATATTCATATAGTCTTCATCACACTTCCGTTTTTTTCGGCTTGTTAATCCCGACTTATTTTCTTCTCCACTGTTATCCGTTGGGTTTAATGTTGGCGAAAAACTGGTCGAACAAGAACCTTCATCAAGAACTCTACCATTAACTCGTGAAACCCCTAAAGCGTTTGAGTGGAACCCTAGGGTTTCGTGGAACACAGGTTGAAGAACACTGCCATAGACTAATATATAGCAGCATAACACAGCGATGTAACTTTTCTTACTATTATTATACAACTTTTTACAACACATCCAATAGCTGAGGATTACATGTTGACTCACGCTTTGTATATCACAGTATTCGCAACACTACTTGAATTAACCTTCGTGGTATGAGAACCACGTTTAGAAGAGAAATTTTATGAGAACCCATTCTACCACGTTTAGATATACTACTACTAGTACTACTGCCTTGTCAACAATAGTATGATGGCGATTCTGATGAATCATAGGTTGTTCTAGAAATCTCGCCATCAGCCATGGTCCTTCGGTATACTTCTCATTTGTGGAATTGACATTTTGTTGGTATCTTTTTCAATTGTTCACTTCCATGTCATTTTGGGTCTTCCACGTATCCTGACTCATTTATGTCCCTCCTCAACGAGTGTCCAATCCATTCGTACTTTTTTCGTTTACACTAGATTGCTCAGTTATTTCCCATAACTCATCATTTGGAATAATTCGTCAATCTATTCAGAATCACCCTATTCAAAATCTTATGTTTAGATCTAAGACAACATTAATTTACTCAGATATATTTCTAGCAATAAGCATAGTATTTTCATCTCGTAGTTCAGATATTATATAAAACACCAGTTAACCTCGACTTCGCGTGAGTGTTTATAAAATGACGATTCTCAAACTTCCACACATGCATCATGATAATTGTTTTTAAACAATCAGTACAGAATCGAAAAGAAGAATTCACAAGTATATAGTCTACTAGCACTTCTTTGTCGTTCATATTTGGTACATGATAGTGTGAGCGATTACTCGGAGTATCATGGACGAAGCACGTTTCAGTTTTGAACGAAATGAAAACAAAAGACAGATTGATGAAGCTGATTAATACTTACTACATCATACCTTAGCTGCTTTGGACACCTAACAAGGCAAATCGTAGAGATGGAAAACCTTATTGTAGAGGGAAAATGGAGGGCAATAGACAGGAAACTGATGGGGTCTCGGTGCACCAGACCATACAGATGGCGCAGGATCAGGAGGAATGGAGAAGAGCACTAAACACTTAATATCACCAAAACACTCTCAAGGGTAGAAATACTGAGGAAAAGGAGTGGGCAGAAACTTTGCAGTTTTGAAAGTTTTGTAGTTTTTCGACCCAAGTGGTTTCTAGGCATCATTCCTCTTCCTTTCTAAATTACGAACTAATTTCAATTTGCATACTTTGCCATTTTCTGCGGACTCCCATTTACCATATTTCTTTTATGTCTATGGACAAACTCCAAATTCCACACCAACATTCCAAGAATTGCACAAAGAATTGCTCGGTGAGCTTTCTTCTGCTCGTTTCTCTAAGAAATAATGGAGATTACATCATGTTTTATTCCGTATATTACAAAGCGTAAAATGTTATTTTAAATCAAAAAATTTAAAATGGCTTTCTCATCATTCATTCTCATTTGAAACTACCATTACATAAAAAAACTCAACAATTCGTAATTTATCCCATTTCATTTATTGCCGTGTATCAAAAACGGAATAATTCATTGCAAGCCCGGCACTATTTGCGTTTTGACGTGTTCATTTTTACAAAATTCCAAGTTTTACAATGGAATATGCAACGAGCGTGCCCATTTTACCATTTTGTGCGTATTATGATCGATGCAAAAAGTATGGAAATAACGGGAATATAATCGTGAAACGTGCATCGTTTACGGTCTGATAAACTGGTCGCAAACTGTAAAAGATCGAAAAGTAAACAACAAAAAAATAGGAGTGTCCCATTAAATAACGTCCTGCAAAATACGGGATAATCTATCGGGGAGAAACGCTGCTGTGCTTTTAAAAAACAAATCCCGTAAATCGGGGGGAGGGCGCTAGATATCCGACGGCGCCGAATTTACAGCCGGCGCTTTTGGCTCGCGTTTAATTACAAAATTTCGCAACGAAGCTTTGTAAAACCGGCGCCAAGTTAAGTGCTGGAGAGATTACGAGTGCTGCGCACTGAAATTATGTAACTCACCTGCACTAAGTCTCCAAAATCCCCGCCACCTGCGTTGAACGTAAGGTGACAGATAAAGGGTATTTTATCTTCTTTTGGACGGTGTAATTCTAAGTCGTACGTCTTACCCACTTCACCATAGTACGTCCTGTTGCAGCCTGTAGAACAAAAACGTTACATAGATACTTTTTTAATCTATTTTTTTTCCAACATTTTGTTTTGTTAAAATCAAAGGACATGTTATTTCAATTTCTATTAAAAGCTTTCAATAAACTCCTATCTCCATATAATATTCCATTGTATTCAAAACAAAACCCGGGAGCTTACGAATAATTAATAAACATCCTCGCTTTCCAATTTAGAATGTTTTAATACTGTATTTTAAAGTTTTCACGTACTTCTCACATATTACATATAATTGTAATGCAATATTATTATTTATAATTTTAAAGTTTTATTACCAACACGCCGTGTTTTGTAATTTATGAAAGTATTCAAGGGAAATTTTCATTACCTTTGTACAAATAAATTGCACAAAAGTATAACAGCAAAAGTTATAAATGATTCAAGTCCTCATCTAACGGCATTCATTCACGACGGGATACCGTAAACCCTTGTGATCCTATAGACTGTGATCGTAAAAGCCTCGAATGGCCGAGCAGAGAGCAGGAGTTTCGCAATTTGCGTCAAAAATGCACGACAACCGGTCCCCAAACCCCATCACGGTGCTTTATCTCAGATAAATTAGGTCACGAGATTTTAACATCAAAGCTCTGTTTCACCCGGGGTATTTATTTTACATAATTCATGACACACGATGTCAACGGTTGCATTCGATTAACATGTGGAACCAGGGTTTGTTTTATTATTTAGGTCGGTCTGAGTGCTGACGTGGGTTAGTTTCGAATTGATTTACGATGCGAGCAGGACCTGGCGCGGACGTCAAGGACGATTTTCCTTGGGAAACCATTGGAGAATTAGGCGACTAATTGACCTCTGCCAGCACCTGACGTCTCGATAAGAAACGAGAGAAAATAGATGCTCTAGATCGGAGCCACTAGAAAATTTATAAGGACGTCATCATGTTCAGATAATTGGAAACGATAACTTTATTAGAAGATGTCACGTCTATAAGAACAAAATCAACAGCTTTAATATGATACATACATGATTTTAAATAAAAATTATGCTGTATAGTTTCAACATTATTTTTTTGATTTTTTTCCTATCAAGAAACTTACGATGAGTTATTACCTCATATTTATTGATATAAGAGCTGCTCTATGAAGCATACTTCTTTCGTGATATTGATTGTTACCCATTTAAGACAGTTACTCCATGTTATGTCACTCTTTAAATTGAAGACTATATTACATAAATGCATAGTAATTCAAAAAATATCAAATTAGGATGTATTCAAATCGATAATTCAGAATTGTTAATTTATTCCACTACAAAGCATATGGATGTAAGCTTTATCTTGTACTATAATTAGATTTTTTAAGTAAATACCCATGTCCTGCTACAATTAAAGCGACGCTCACATCCAGCGATTATTGATTAATTGAAACACAATGGAATGGCCCTTTTACAGCATGAAGCTTATTCGTATCGAGCATTGCAAACGCCGACGACGAACGCCATATATCTAATTCAACAGTTTATTATCAAATTAAGCGTGAAATGATAATGAAGTGATGATAAGAGGAGTACAGTTTTGCACATTCTGTCCTAACTATTCTCTTAATGATGGAATATCACAAATAAGTAGAGAAGTGTTCACAGAGGAATGACGTTTACAGAAGAAGGAACAATCTTAACATACTGCAAAAATTTTTTTTGATTTTTGCCATGACTCTTCAGTAAGAATTAAGAAATTTTATTGGTAGAAACTACAGGGAATCACATTCTTCTCTAACTACTTCTTTAAGAATGGGAACAAATAGGAAAGCAAAGAAAGAAGCACTGGTGCCAGAACGATGGTTATGGCTATAAAATCTTTACCAACGCTAAAAAAAAGTCTGGAAGTTGCAGGAAATCTTCTGACGGAACAGAAGTAGGAACAGAAAGATGTAGGCTTAGATATTAGGGAAGATACAAAATCTTCACAGAAAAAAAAGAATTAATATCGCAGAAATAGACAATAGGAAAATATTGACCCAAAGTAATTACTAATTACTAATTACTTTGGGTCAATGCTAACTTATATTCGTTTCAGACACTGTTGTTCTATGGTTTTACAGCAATACCTTTCTTTCGAAAATGTAAAGTTTATCCTTTGAAACTGTTTCTAACTTCTGAATATTGATATTAATCATTATGGATTATGTAAAGTAAGTTACTGGTTGTATATAATTTAAGTACGGAGCCACCTTAGCTTTCGAATTTTATTTTTAATTCTTCATTAGAAGAACGCTATTTTATTTAAAATAAAAGAAACAAATCAAACAAATTATACAATAAAAAACTTAACCTAACTTACAGATAGAGGTTGCAAGTCGTAAAAATACAAAAACCCATAATACAAACAGGGAGCCAGATAGTAAACAGCCCAAAAACCCGCCGCAAAATCAAAAATCCAGCACGATGGCACAGGAACAATAAAATTCGAGAACCAAAACCACAAAATGTTCTAAAAGCGCCCTCTTTCCAATGAACCAATCCGTTTTGAGAAATACCATTTAGTTTTTGAGAAAACAATATTTGAAGTTTTGATAAAATTTTCGATGTTGCAATTTTCATCGATAATTTTCAAAATTCGCTATAAAATTAATTTCTTAAAGGATCCTTGTGGAACTATCACCAATTATTAATTAAAGTATCCTCTTCTTACAGTTGCTTCGTGAGTTAAATCAGCATCTAAAAAGTTCATTTTGTATCTTGGATCCAAATAAGTTGACATATCTAATCAGCTTTCTTATTAATTTCATTTTTATTCAAATATCGCAATAATGTGGCAATGTAGGGTATCACTTCAGAAATGCACCAGAAGTTATAACCATAATAGGGGGTGCCGAATATCCGGTATCCGGATTTTCGCAAAATCACTATCCGTTCCATCACTAATGCAAATACTAGATTCAGGTTGTAATCACTATGAAAACTGCATGCGTACAACTTCCAAATACTAGATCGAATTACTGTAGATATTGCACCCAACAATCATATATTGGAAACATCCAGTTAAAAAAAAAATTCTGGTTATAATTTTATGGAAACCGTATTTAAATGGTGGATACTGTAATGAATTACTATATAGCCATTACACCCAACAACTTGATTATGAAATCAACCTTGAATATTGGACTCAAATTCTATGTTCTAGATATTAAAACAAATCATTATGTATACTGCATCTAGCAACTAGGCATTGACGGCACGCCGGAAGTCTACATTGGGTACTGAAGTCAACCACGAAAATCAGGATCTAATATTTATCAAAACTAAGTGTTTATTTTCGGAATAGTGATTCAAATCACTAGAAATGTTGCACAATAGCTGCATATTAAAATCATGTACAAGACACTGAAATCAGCCACTAGATACTGGAATCGTCTACTAGATTCTGATTCTAATCAGTAAAGAAACGGTAGATAACTCTCGATAGTGAAGTACTATAGATACTGATCTCAACAACTGTATACTGGAATTGTTACTGTGTCTAATCAGTATATGGAAAGCTATAAAATTTCCCCCTTCACCAATGATACAATGTGGTCTTGATAAGAAATCTATTTCTAGATAACAGTTCAACAACTTCATTTACCCGTTTTGGCATGTAGTTTGATTATTACGGAATAATATACAGAGTGTTAATTAATAATAATAATAAACTTTATTTCCATTTCCAAAACAAGTATATATATATATATACATACATACAAACAAACAGTAAAAAACCAAAACAATATACATAGAAATGAAAATTGGCGATGTTTGAATTTTATTGGTATTACAATACGCTATTTGCGTATGATGCGTATTACACTGTGATATTGGTTGCATACTTGCAATGATGACGTCGGGTGCGATAATTAATTAATACACTGTACATATTCGAACGCAAAGATCATATTATGGACGATTTAACATGGCGTGATATAATATTTTGTCACTGGCAGATAATAAAAAAAGTAATTTTATGATTACATGTGTCAAATTATAATGATCAAGGGTGTATACACTCAATTAAATAATTACGTTGAGGAGCACCACATAATCAAACTGGATTTCATCAGGAATAGAGTGCTACAATTGCACTGCTAAAAGCATACGCATGTAGTGGTTAAAACAAAAGGAAACAGAACAAGGTTTCAACATTAAGAAACAAATTCAAGCAGCTTTTACACACGTTTTTTCTATGGTCCCTATAAACAGGTTGATAACACTTGGCACAAAATGTTTTAGTTTTTGACTTTTTTTTGGGTTTGACTTTCTCCTTCCTCCAAGCTTAATTCACCGCTAATATTTCGTTTTAGACTGTGAACATTTTTTTTAAAGCCTGGCCCAAGGACAGTAGAATCTAACAGGACTGCTACATTCATTGTTATGACAACCTGCCCGCAAACTACGTCATACCATTTGCCACGCCCTGCTCTATGCGTTTGCTGTGTATTTTTAGAGGTTATATCGTAGACGTATTCATATTATTTTTGAAGTTTTATTTTTTTAGTCGTATTAATGTCTATCATGTAACCTCTAAATCTCACAAAACACACAGCAAACGCATAGTACTCAATGACAGTTAACAGGGCGTGGCAAATAGTGTGACGTAGAGTGCGGGCAACCAACCCGTAGTGGTCTACAAAAATACAATGCATGTAGCAGTCCTGTTAGATTCTACTGTCCTTGAGCCTGGCCATCATGTATGCTAGGTAACTGTAAATTAATTCATATAGAAACAATTGTTTATTGATCTTTTCTAAGTTTTTTGAGCACTTGTACAGTACCCAGGCATTTTCTCCAGCTTGATCAAGCATTCTGGACCAGTATCTCATGGTCCATCGTCTAGTTTTTTCACTCACTGGGTAATTATCTGGTTAAGGTTATCAACACCACCTTTTGTGGAGTTATATAATTCTCCTTACCACTCCCATCGCTTATTATAAATATGTACTGAATCATACTTTTCTCCCATTATAAAATTCTTGGCGTATTATCCCCAAAACAAAATCTATCTGATGAGTGCCTGCATCACAGTATTGACTGGTGATACACATTTAAAGCCACATGTATCTTAAACGGCCTCCTTTAGTTAGTCCAAGACTGACTAGAGCGAGGAGAAAGTTCGGAAACCTCATCCTTAAAGTATTTCGACATAAACAAATCAAAAGAACCTAAAGTAGGCGAACGTGGTGGGTACACATCTCTTGCAAACATTTCACCTGGACAAGGTACTGTATGCATCGAAGCATTATTTTGTTTGAAGAAAAAGAAGTCTCCCGGTGTTAAAGAGCTTTAGATTGAAAAAATTCTCCAGTACTTTGCATATTTCTATGATCACTTGTTCAATGGCGAAATTATATAATGTCATTTAGACATTAATTAATGTATCATAACTATATGTATAAGAAGAAAGTTGAATGTAGACCACTGCAATTAGTTCTTTTATTATCTACATAATCATTAAATCATTAACAATACATTATGTTTACTTTTGGTTTAATCTCCATAAGATATCAATTTAGAGGGTAATTCGATCCATTTATCAACTTACATTAATAATGTATAACATTTCCCCATTTCTTACCCTATATAAAATTAAATGAATTTTTGATTTGAATTTATAGAAAATTGTTTTTATGCGTTTTCGATTACGAAATTTCATCACGTATAGCCTTTATTTCGTCGACTAAAAGGGAGGTGAACTTCAGAGTTATGGACAGATCGATGGTGACCTATATAAAAGTAAACCGCGATCCAGAAAGTATTACGGTAATATTTCCCGTAGAGGCTTTGATAAAGCCCGTACACGTCGTTCTGCTGCTTGCACTACGTCTATAATATACTGTGCAGCAGATTTATAAGATCACAACACTTCTCCAACTGACAATGTATCAAAGCTTCATCATTTGTTATTTCGACAGGATTTAACAAATAGCCATTTCATCTTCTTTTTTGATGCGAAACAATTTTTTAGCTTCAACAAAATAGTTTTCGGCCAAAGAAGCGATAGATAAATTTAATGCATAGAAAAGGCGTTAGTCTATCAATGTTTTTTTTTAGTTCTTCTTCGAAGGTTAGATTTACAGCACACTTGTGACCCGGAGATTGATTGTTTTTTATTAGATCGTAACAGTGTGATAAATCCTTGTAACCGTAGAATAACGTTCTGTTTGTTTAAGGCTGTATTTCTTCTATTCCGGAGGTGGTTTTTCTTAGGCGATCGTAAATTTCCTATTCACGGAATTCCTCTAAAAGCGCGCCTTTTCTAGCAAAGCTTTCCTGCTTTTATCCCCCAGGAATACGACCGCCGGCTATTCTGATGCGCCTTTTTTCCTACGTTTTATTTCGTCGCCGTGGTCTCGGTTTAATCTTGAACCGAGAAAAGTTTGAGTTCGCAGGAACGTCAACAAACGATTGTGGAAAAGACGGTTTCTTTGGACCAATAAAGTTTTCGTAGCTAATCGCGAGTTAAAACCAACCGAAGCTTTAAGGAACCTCTTTCAAAAACATCAACATCATGGAAAATTCGCTCGGTTTAGTTCCTTTTAGATTCTCCGGGGAAAACTAAATCCAAAACTGAATTATAACAGCATTTATCGTACTCGCAATGACCCAAACATTACGTTTGACAGCACGATTTATGATGGGTTAAATTAAACGACCTCCGAGCGTTATACCGCAACAATGATATTACATAACTCACGGGTTTTGTAATCCTCGGGATCGAGTTCAACATTTATAAAATATATTTGTCGTAATTATAATTAATTGATGATTATATTTAGTTTACTTACGTGTACAATATCTTGGTTCATCGGTTGAGTCACCACAGTCGTTGACGTTATTACAAAAGCGATTCAGTGGTATGCAGCGTCCGTTGTCACAGTGAAACTGTGTTAGTTTACAGGGAGAAGACGAAGTGGCAGACTTTGTCGTAGCCACTGAACTTGTCCAAAGCACGATGATAACGACCACCATCCGCCATGTCACTTCTGAAAAGGATAACAAGAACCTTCCATTAGTTGGCTTTCCGCAAAAAGCACATAGACACATTGTGGACAAGTACTTAATCAAGCTGAGATATTTAATAACTAAAGTGTTACGGGCTGCGACGTTATAACGCGAAGAAACAACCCTTAATAACTCATAGATAATGCTCAACCGGGCGTAATACTCGGGTAAAGTTGACTGTGTAAACACCCAAATTCTCACACCGTCACGAAATGTCAATTGTTTGCTCTGAGTTTCAGGTACCACAGCAATTAGGACTAGTAATATTTGACGAAGGGTTAATTTTAACACCGAGGAAAACGTTTTGCTGAAACCCAGGATTGTCTGGAATACCGAGAAAAGCAAATCGAGAAATATCGCACCTATTTGTTCCTTTTTAAATTTAAATAAAGTTCACATTATTAACCCAGTTTTAGTTACATTCATTCAAACTTTGATAGTAACGGAAAATGTCTATCCGGGTGTTAACAATACGGGACAAACTGTTAAGTGCATTGAGTGCTTCCCTCCTCAAAGTTCCATTTCAACCACTAACTTAGAAATCCTCCCCGAACTCCGACGTTCTATAACATCACAAAAAGAAAGAAGTTATTGTCACTAGTTGTTCTCATTTTAAAATAGTTAGATATGATTAAATTTAAAAAGGTTCTTTATTGGATTTGCAAATTAATGGGATTTACGCGTCAATTGAGCTTGTATGTAAAGTTATTAAGGGTTGAAGAAACGAAGCCTGTATAATAAGTACTGTAATAAACGAATAAATTAATCCTATTATATGGTTTTATGACCTGAAAATTAATTTCGAAATAATTTTACGGTATATTATAATTAGTTGTTTACATAATTGATGGTGCGGTGGTGTGAGCTTCACAAAATCGATGCAATGCCAAATATAATTCATATAAACGTCTCTTCGCATTCAATATGGATATTTACAACGCAATTTGCCGCACATTATTTAATACAAAGAGAGGAAGAGCACGCGCGACTGAAGTCTATTTTCGCCGTTGAATATGGTTTCAATTTGTCCGCATACAACTCGAGGATCAGTCTCTAGCAGGATCGTACCTTCCGCATCCCATTTAATTATTTAATCATGCCGCAGTGTATTTGCATAATGATCAATTTGGTTTCGACCGCGACCGACAATGCAATTTTACTCACTCGGATGCAACAAATTATTCACATCTAAATCGATTGTCTCGCTAACGACTGTAATTTACATTATTTTAACTTTTTTATGTATTGTGTCGTTGGTGATTAAATTTTAAATTTTTAATACGTTTCTATAGAACAGAAATTCTCAACTGCACTAGTAACTGCACTAATTCTCAATTACTACACTAAAATATAAAACGTAACAAAAATCATAGAAGAAAACTTAAAATTAAGTTAAAAGCAAGAATGTTATTGTAAATGATGCAAAATGAGACAGAAAGCCAAAATACTACTGAAAAAGGAGTCGAAACTTCGGCCATTACCCAGCGGGTAATATAACAAAAATCAAACAACATCACAATTAGGACGGCTTCAACAATTACATTAAGTTCATACAGCTATTTATGATAGTAAACACATGTTTGGATATAAGCTGCGACCAACACATACATGGAAGCAACATACGAAGGTTTGTACCCCATTGCACGAGACAACCAAAAGATTATCGTGGATAAGAAACCTACGAAGACCATTGTTTCAATTAAGCGCCCGTATCTGAGTACATAATACCAACCCCTAAAACCTCAGCAATGATTGAAGAATACGTAAGAGAACTCTAACCATTCACATCACGTGCTAGAAGTTGCGTAATAGGCCCCATACACCTGCAAACAAATTGCGCAAACTAACGTTGCACAACAGGTTATTGTGCAAACAAGGTTACCCATGTACACAATTTTATACAAACTTCAGTTGCTTGTGTTTTGTATATCGCATATCAAAGAACTTAAGTTGTAAAAATGTAAAAATTATTCACGAATGGATCCGACTACTTTTGGTGAATTACTGGTCATGGTAACACTACTTATACAAAGCAATATCACCTTCTACTAACACACGTGAAAAGAAACTGTCGTTACTGCACAATGTGTCGTACAAACCCCATACACAATACAATTGGTTGATAACTAATTTCAAACAATTTTAAAATTCTACAACCAGTTGCGCAATACACAATTTTCGCAAAACAGCGATGATGCGCAATTTCTTTGCAGGTGTATGGGGCCTATAAGGTTCATCCTGTATATACATATATCATTTCTAATTACAACATATCTTTTGACACATTTAAAACTATCCACTGCTTGTTTGACTGAATTTTAGAAGTAGATGATTTCCGATTTGGTTATAAAGATGTTGATGGGACAGTATCGTCATTCATTAGCTCGTACTTGGGTACATGGGTTGGGTAATTAGGCTATAGTTTCGCGAAAAATCGCGATTTAGTAGGATACGGTTATATCGAAAACGGCTGGGTGGATTTTAAATCGGTTTTAACCAAAATATGTCAAATAATTGCATTTGTTGAATTCTGTTATCTGTTTATCTAATTATTTTGAAGCGACATAAGCCAAGTATACATGAAAAGGAACAGAAATAAGTCATGCGGGGAGGGTTCTGTCGAATCCGGCTGGTGTGTTCCAGACTACATGTCGGACCTTTATTGTAACTATATGAAGAAATAAAGGCGCGACGTCCAGTCTGGAACTCACTAGCCGGATTCGACAGAATCCTCCTCTTCTGTCGAATCCGGCTGGCATGTTCCATACAGGACATCGGTCCTTTATTTTACTTAAATAAGAAAATAAAGGCCAGTCTAGAACACACACCAGTCCAAGTGGACGAGACCCCCCTCTCCCCGCATGACTTACTTCTGTTTCTGTTTAATTTTAAATTCATTTAAATCGCAAATACATGATATTTTAAGATATCGTATAGAAATAATGTGGTTTCATATAAAAGACTCACAAAAAAATCAGAAAATGTGAAAAACTTAAAAAATCGTTCTAAGTTTAGTGCGAGGAGTTAAGATACGATTTATATCTTAAATTAAAGTTAACAGATGATACTTTAAAATATCATAAAGAGGTAATATGGTTTCATATAAAAAAAATCCAAAAAAATTGATACAATATTGCAAAGATAAGTACGTATAAATGAAAAAAAAAAATAAGTTCAGTTAAGTTCAACAAACCATTTCTAGGGTATTTTTGGGAGTCAAGCAACGGTTCATATCTCCAATTGAACCTAACAGATGATATTTTGAGTCAATATAAATAAATAACACTGTTTCATATAAAGTAACTCCAAAAACAATTATGCAAATTTTGCCAACCCAACACCTGAAATTCCACTTACAATCTACTGTCTTGTCAATCTACAACTATTTTGTACTCATTTCCATGAGGTGATACTTTTTATTTTTTATTCAATTAAACGCTAAGTAAGTTGTACTTCAATTCTATTAAACTAAGAATTGTAACCATATAATCTTTTCCAGAATTTTAATTTGTTTCTTTGTCTAATATCAAGCCTTTTGATTTTTACCGTATCATATTGTATTGTCAAATATTTCAACCTGACGCTTTGTTTCTTCAATCGACAATCTTGACGGTAAATTTATTTTTACTTTTTAATTTATTTTTCTAACTAATTGATGTCTTAACAAAAACATATTTTAATCTATCTCTAGTCATGCCAGATGAAGATCGCATAGTTCGATCGAAACATATGTAGCACCGAATATAAAAATAAATACTTTTTCATCGTCTTTATTTTGTTATTTTTTATTCAAATATTGTTTTCTCAAAAACTAAAAGTTATTTTTCAAAACGGGTTGGTTCTTTGGAAAGAAGATACTTTTATTAACATTTTGGGAAATTTTCATACTCATATTCCAAGAAATGAATTTTATACGAATTTTTAAAACTTAATCGGCGAAAATTGCAAAATTCGAAAAAATTATCGATTATTTCAAAAATTTATTTCTAAAAAACTGAAAGTGATTTTTCAAAACGGCTTTTTGCAATAAAGAGAGGATACTTTAATTAATAATTGGTGATATTTCGAGAAGGATCCTTCAAGAAATTAATTTTATAACGAATTTTGAAAATTATCCATGAAAATTGCAACATCGAAAATTTTATCAAAACTTCAAATATTGTTTTCTCAAAAACTAAAAGTTATTTTTTAAAACTGGTTGGTTCATTGGAAAGAAGACACTTTTATTAACACTTTGGGAAATTTTCATACTCATATTCCAAGAACTGGATTTTATACGAGTTTTTAAAACTTAATCGACGAAAATTGCAATATTCGAAAAAATTGCCAATTACTTCAAAAATTTATTTCTTAAGAACTAAAAGTGATTTTTCAAAACGGCTTGTTGCTTTAAAAAGAGGATACAATTGCAACATCGAAAATTTTATCTAAACTTCAAATATTGTTTTGTCAAAAACTAAAAGCTATGTTACAAAACGGGTTGGTTCATTGGAAAGAAGACACTTTTATTAACACTTTGGGAAATTTTCATACTCATATTCCAAGAAATGGATTTTATACGAATTTTTAAAACTTAATTGGCGAAAATTGCAAAATTCGAAAGAATTGTCTATCATTTCAAAAATTTATTTCCCAAGAACTGAAAGTGATTTTTCAAAACGGCTTTTTGCATTAAAAGAGGATACTTTAATTAATAATTGGTGATATTTCCACAAGGATCCTTCCAGAAATTAATTTTATAGCGAATTTTGAATATTGCAACATCGAAAATTTTATCAAAACTTCAAATATTGTTTTCTCAAAAACTAAAAGTTATTTTTCAAAACGGGTTGGTTCATTGGAAAGAGGATAGTTTTATTAACATTTTGGGAAATTTTCATACTCATATTCCAAGAACTAGATTTTATACGAATTTTTAAAACTTATTCGGCGAAAATTGCAATATTCGAACAAATTGTCGATCACTTCAAAAATTTATTTCTCAAAAACTGAAAGTGATTTTTCAAAACGGCTTTTTGCAATAAAGAGAGGATACCTTAATTAATAATTGGTGATATTTCGAGAATGATCCTTCAAGAAATTAATTTTATAACGAATTTTGAAAATTATCGATGAAAATTGCAACATCGAAAATTTTATCAAAACTTCAAATACTGTTTTCTCAAAAACTAAAAGTTATTTTTTTAAACGGGTTGGTTCATTGGAAAGAAGACACTTTTATTAACACTTTGAACGGCTTTTTGCATTAAAAAGAGGATACTTTAATTAATAATCGAAGGTGATAACAGCGACAGTTCTGTTATTAATGAATGATGAATTACAAGCGAAGAGAAGAAAACTAGACGAAACTGCAACAAGAGATTTTATACATATAAAAATAAATAAAGCTAATGATAAATAAAGTTGTATTCAATGAAAAAAGTCCTATTGGGGTTGAACTTGATTATTATCTGCAGTGTCTAACACCTAAAAGAGAAACTAATTCCTATGAATGGTGGAGTACTAAGTAATAAGTTTTTAAAAACCGGTCAAAGCCGGATATTAGGTAACTATCCGGTATCCGGCCGGTTTTAAAAAATGGCCGGATAGGCCGGATATTGGATATCCGTTCCACCACTACTTTAAAGACAGTTGGATCCGGAGTCGGTATTGGCATTAGTGGACCAATTATAAATTAAATATCTATTGGCAACATTTCATTTGAACTTAAAGTGCTATTTATTATTCCATTATTCGTTGCTTTTTCCAATGAAAACGTGAATCATCAGAATGAATTTGAAACTACCATGTATACTGTGGTTCATGCAATATCACCGTGTCAATTTACAACATTGCAAGGATCATCATTAATTCCACGTTCGCATCCGCCCTTCCACATCGATGTTAGGTCCGTCAACGTTATTTCCCAACATAAGCGTCCATTTTCGAAAGCGCCTGTTAAAAACGAGATTTGATGCGACCTGGAAAAACAATTGTTGAATGAAAGAACGCTTTAAAACGGAAGGTTGTTAAGGAGACTAAAAAATTAAAGGTTAAAACGAAATGTCTTATAAAAAGTTATAATAGAAATTCTTTATGTGTATATTGTTTATGTTTCATATTTAAATATTTTTCATGTTACCGATAAACCAACAAAAAATTTCTTTCCGGAGACATTACAGATTACCTTTTGCGGCAGGAAGCAACAACTCGTAAAGTATCCGGTTGGTTATGCCTCGGCTTCCCCTTACTCAGGGATACACTTACTTTTAGATCGATATAGCTCCCCAGATTCCTTAAAGTTTAGTTTCGTACGTCAGTACTATAGGTAAAAAAAGTTGCGAGTAGGGTTTGAATCCACATCAATGTGATATATGATTTTGTGTTTTTCATTTTCTTCTTTTACTAAACAAAAAAAAGAAGTTTTTAACTGTAATGTAACAACAAAAATTTGCAATGTGTAAACCCTGATGGAATATGATTTTCGAATCCACTTCAATGTTCATATGAGCACTTCACGTTCAACGAAGCATCATTTCAAGCAAGCCGCAACGGCTATTGCGGCCGTTCGGCTAAGCGAAAACTTCAAAAGCGTCACCGTAAAATTACATTAACCCGTATTCAGCTTTTGCCCTAACCGCCGGCGTACCCAGTTTCGCTTTAATTATAATATGAGCAATTATGATTCAGCGATTAAATCTATACGCGCTCTGATGTTGACCCGATATCAAATCGTTTACACATTATGAATAATTTATAGTGTTATAGCTAATACACTGTTTAATATGAAATCATATAAAATAGATACATAGATATATTAAAATTTTTATTCTACTAGCCTAAAATCGGTATCTTTTTTCTTCTTTTGAAACCGAACGCAAAGATATAATCCAAGTGCAAAACACACTGCGCATACAATCCCGTATGTGAATTTGCTACGCTTTAATTTCGCCAAAAGAGAAGAAACTTCCATAAAAGTTAAAAAGTATGGAGCTCCGTTCGATGGTGGGGTAACAAAAACTTGTTTTCTATCCGGAGATAAGCTTAGCTCCCCGATCGCTGTAAGTATAGTTCCGCTTTTTAGCATCTTTTCGGTTGTTTGGATTCCGGTTTGTTTAACTCCAAGTATATGCGACCACGCGTGGCTGATTACTTCTTGCGCATTTCCGCTATAAGTATCGCTGATTATATCCATATCGAGCATTGCAGCAGAAAGCGGTGCCAAAATTTTTACACTTTGTTCACTATTTGAAATCGTAAACGGGACAACGTTTCGAATTTTTCGTATTATTCTTTGTCGGTCGGACCAGTGACCTTCTGTTAACTGGGCTATATGCTCTCTTAAGATGATGTATTGTACGACGCCGTTAACTTTCGGGTTGGAATTGCTTATAATAGGTACTCCGATGGGTTTAACGACTCCTTGGATGCAAGCGTAGGGTATTCGGTACCCCGGATAGTCCATTACGACATTCTTCAAATCGTTTGTTATTCCAAGCTGCGGAGCGTTTTCAATTTGATTGATGATGGTTTTTTTCTTGTAATACGCCAAAAAACAAGCCGCGAACACCATCGCGTCTACGGCTAAGATTATCGTTTCAAGTGGAAAATCCATTGCGGATATTCCCCTAAATTAATAACGTTAATTAAAAAAAATATTAGTTATTAAAGACGAGTTTTACGACATTATTATCATTTTGACAACTTCCAAAATTTGTAAAAAAATGAAAAGTCACACGAATTTGTGAATTAAAAAAAATTTAGTTTCAAAGAGATGTCGTGCGCGTAATAATAACGGATTTAACTTTCTAAGAATGTAAAGAAGTTACTGTTTTATAAGTTTTCAACTTCAAGGGTCGCTTGTGGATCAGATTTCGTACAAGTTTAATGGGGCAAAAATTGTTTCCTTACGAAGTCATTTCCAGGAAACTTTGTAGCTGAAACAATGTCACCAATCGGTTTCTTATCTACTTGGGAAATATTATCCTCTTTTGCTCGCCTTTACACACAAACAAATACATAAATCAATAAAACTACACTCCTCTATACCTTATCTTTCTACAATAAAATTTTCTTTTATATTTTATTTGTTACAAACTTTAAAAACAACTTGTTTACTACTAACTTTGTAAAAATATCGTTTATGAAACATTATTTATTTAAAAATTTGTATCAAAAGAATTGTATAAAGTTTTTTTTTTATTTTTTGGTTACGATGTGTCATGATAATATTTCCACATGAATGGGTTTCGTAAACTAACTATGCGGACGCTAGTGCTTGAATGGCTTATCTAAGCGTTTATGTTTGGTGTACCATGCTAATTTACCCGATGTATATATCCTGAACGTTACGATAACACCGGGTTAATCCGAGTAGATAGCGGCTACCGCGAAGCTTTTCGGAAACCTACCTTTTAATCTTGTTATATCTCCACGCGCGTCCGATGCTGAAAGCAATATAAATGACTGCTTTGACTGCCAATTTATTTTAGCTGAAAAGTTTCAAAAGCACCTGCGTTCCCCGTAACACCCACTGCGTTCAAATTTACGATCACATTTTTACTCTGTAACGGAGGATATTAAGAAAGTTAAATTAATAAATAAATTAAAAATATATAACGTTTCTTAACTCGAATAATCCAAAAAAAAATATGTTATTAGGTTAAAATTAGATTAACTTTGGTAAACAAGCTGTGAGCTTTTACAATATTTTACAATAAACCCTTCAGGCCTTTATAACATAATTATAACTCATAAACTTTTAACATAATTCCCCAACTAATTTTTGATTTCAACTCGTACGTTTATTTCAAAATTATGACATAAATTAGGATTACTGGTAATTATGTTTACTCACTTTAAGTTTGTAAAGTTATAACGAATTTAATGATATTACATGTAGATATTAACCTTTATGTCATATTATTATACCGCTCCGTTGGCTGAAATATTATTATTATTATTGCTGCCGGGCTGAGAGGTGCGGCTTCTCTCGTCACTGCGACCTATAAAATCTATTGTAACTTCAGTCCAAAAATTTAAGGCAAATGTAGGTCCTTGATCCTTGATGAACCTTAGTATTGCTCCAATGTCTTATTCCTTTATGCCGGTAGGAGCTTCTGGCGACACATTCACGCTGTATATGTTCAGCAGTCTCTGACTCATTGCAAAGTCAACAAGTTTGATCCTCAGCTTGTCCAATGTGGAAGAGATGGTATTTTAGGAGTGCAGGCCGCTCAGGACCTGAGATCCCTTTTACTGAGGCATAAAACCTCTGTGATTTTATTTTGCGCCGGAGTTATTATACTATCCGCTAGTCTGTGATCTGGAAGTTCTTTCCAGCGTGAGGTTACCTTTGAGGCCTCCCAACTAGCGATGGGCCAACTCGGATTTTCGCCAAACCGAGTTTAAAATTTGCGTAAATCGAATTCAAACCGAGTTAGTAGCAAAAATCTAAAATCTGTAAATCCGTAAACCGCGCACTGGTTTGAATTGATAAAAGTAAGTCAATAAAAAATACCCGCTTTAGAAAACAGTCTTTCGGATGGTATCGAAGTCGCTGGTATGCAGAGGTTTATGCGATATTTTAACATTTTTTTTACTCCAGAATTGGAGGGGATCTTGTTTTCTGTCTATGTATGGTAATTCAATATATAGTTTTATCATCGTGGCTGTTGAACAAGTTGTAATGGAGTTGGACTTCTCGACGGTTTGTGATATTTTTCGATCTATAACACCCCAAATATCATCTTCAATAGTAAAAGTAGAAGCAGCGCCAAAAATAGTAGATGTAGAAGTTTGGTCGGTTAAGTTCAAGGTTTTCGTTGATAAGTAGTCGTTTAGTTCATTTATTATTCACATTTACGCATTGTTAGCGTTGCTTTCTGAACTAAATGCTGATTTTTGATATCGTGGATCAAGAAGTCTTTATTATAACAGCAAGAGTTCTTTGTAAGTGCTTGCCTGATGGATACTTTTCCCCGGATAAAATTGCAGTTACCTTTTGAAACGGATGTAAAAACGCCACTACGTCTTTAGCAAATAACCACTCTTCAGAATCCAGCTTCGGTGGAAGTGATACCAGTGTCGGTAAAGTAGCAGAAACCGGAACCTTGACAATCAATAGGCGTTCGAGCATACGAGAAGTAGGTAGTGTTCCAGCGAGTGCGAACATCTTGGTTTAATTTGATTACATCCAAGTTCATTTGCTTCTGAATGAGGACCAAAGCATATGAAGACTCCATATCTCACATTCCATATTTTTCTATACCATCTTTCACGGCAAGATTAAGAGTGTGGACCACATAGAAATTGTTTTGCTTATTTAAAATTTCGCTAACTGCTTTTTTCATTGAAGCTGCATTGTTTATAACTATAGTCACTATTTTAGAACTTATCTGCCACTCGTCCAATATTTGTTGAATAACATTAGAAATAGCTATTGATTGCAATTTTGTTTCTTCTATAAAATGGGCGGTCACAGTAATGCAACTTTTATTACCGTCTGACGTCCAAATATCTGATATCAAAGCAATATGTTCAACGTCCTGCAATTTTTCCTTACGAGTTGTAGACTCAATGTTATACTTTTCTTCCAACATCTGAGTCAATTTTTTCCTCGAAGGCAGTTCATAATCGGTATTTAATATTTTGGTGTATTTGCGCAAATCTTTATTTTGGAACAATCCTGAACTATCATTTGAATCAACGCATCATGTCCAGATTTCTGCAATTTTTTTTTGCAGAAAATGGTACGGTTAAGCGAGATTGCTTGAATCGTTTTATTGGAGGTTCAACATCAAGAGGTGAAGAAGAAGCCGGTGGTAGCGACAAAGGCGGTTGGATTAAAATGTTAAGCCTTTCTCGAGTTAGTAACAGTCTAACTCGAATTGACTTAAAATAACCTCAACTTGAATTAACCCGGTTTGATAAATCGAGTTGACCCATCTCTACTTCCAACTATTAATTAGCTGTTGTAAGTGGATTTTTTTGTAGTCCACAACTCGGTTGGAGTCCAATAAAGGTCTCTTTGGCCAGCTTGTCCACCTTTTCATTGTCTTCAATGTCTCTGTGACTTGGAACCCACCATAGAGTAACATCTGGTGCACTCTCTGATCAGTGCGGAGTCACATGTGTAGTGCTGAATTGCCATTAGGGCGGCCCGACTGCCATTTATGTGTACTAGGACATGAATAGCTTTTACATTCTTTTAAGTAAAGTTTATGTATATCGATTTATTTCTATTTAATTTTATTAGCCATTGTTTGGTCCAGTTTTCGATTGAATTTAACGCCAATTGCAACTTATTTGCTGTAACTTCTATACTTTTTGCAACAGCCAAGATCGCTGTGTCATCTGCGAATGTAGCTGTTAAAATTCATGTAGTGGTGAATGTGCGTTTTCACATTTTACTCTAAAATATTTTTAACATTTATACCTTTGTCGAAAGCTTGTGCAATATTCGAAGATACAGCAGAGCAGACTTTATTTTATTCCATTGCTATTTCAATAGTATTTGTCATTCTATGCATTTGGTCTATTGTTGCTTTTTCTTCCATGACAACTTTTACTTTTTTTCCATGTTACCCCGGGGCTACATGGACACAACGCATACGTGTTCAGTCCTGTATCACGAAAGCGAGGTTCGGTTATGTTTTTGTTTCTGGTGTTTTTTTTTCTTGTTATCAAAGGAGGTCACTGATTAAAAATGGTGCACACGTATCAAAAAACTCCAGGGTTAAAACCCTACATGAATTACAAAGTGAAAGACTTGGAAAAGGCTATGGATGCAGTTCGAAAGGGGAAAAAGGCCGCAGAAACGTGCAAAGTGCCTCGGACAACATTAGATCAGAAGATGCTTGGAAGGAATTCTTTTTAAGCTCTTCGTTTTAAGCAAGTCTGAGGAGCTGTTGATTTTTGAAACTTTGGCTGTTGTTGCGAATTGGAGATTCCTCTTGTCAAAGGCCGACATTCGAGATGTGGTGAAAAAATACCTAGATAAACAAGGGAAGCAGGTCAAGGTCTTCAAGAACAACAGTCCAGGTCCAGGTTTCATCGGTTCTTATCGCTAGAAACAACCTGTCCATCAGAATCTTTTATATAAAAATACATTCCTTAATGCTTCACTTACTTTTCCAGGGAAACTTGATCATCTAACATGCAAAATAAGAGATTGTCCCTAAATCCAAGTTTAGTGTCCAAGAAGTCCCACTGTTTGTATAAGGTATTTTCAATGTTTTATGATAGCTATATAATCCTGAAGGTTAGATTGGTATAATGAACAAGTTTCTGTTGCCCTAACTTTATTTCTTCACTTTTAATCTTGAAAAATGTGCAAAAAACGTGTCCAAGTAACCCTGTGGCACACCGTATTTAATATTACCGAGGTCAGAAAATTGTGAATTAAATTTGACATACTGTTTACGGTTGGACAAATAGGACGATATTAAGCTGCAAGCGATATTATGTTGTACATGTATACTTTCCTTAAATGAGTGATGTGAGAAACACAATCAAAAGCCTTTGTTAAGTCAACAAAAGAGACTGCAAAATTCTGATTTCTCGAAACAGTCCACAATATTATCTAATAACTTCAATACTGCACTTGTAGTTAATCTACCGTGTCGAAAACCAAACTGAGTTTGGCTTAAGAAATTTTTACATTAAAAATACTGTACTAATTGATTTTTAAGTAGGTGTTCGAAGATTTTTGACAGTACAGGCAATATGCTTATCGGTCTAAAATTCCCGGCAACGTTACGGTAATCCTTCTTGAAGATTGATGTGATACAAGCAGTTTTAAAAGCGGCAGGAAAAATAGATTCACAAACACAGTGGTTTAGTAGCTTAGTTAGCGGAGTAATTAGCAAATTGCGCACATGTTTAATCATTGCGACATTCAGACCAAAACAATCATAGGATTTGCTATTTTTTATCTTATCGATTACATCTCTCACCTCAACCTTGGAAAAGACGCTGAACTGGAAGTATCCATCCTGTGACGCGGGGTGGTTATCGCGGGCCAATGTTAGTTTGTATTGAACTAGACAAGATAGCTGGAATTTTCAGAAAGTAATTATTAAATTGGTTAGCAGTTGTTACTCGAGGTGACGTGTTTTCTATGCTTCAGATTCACGCTGCTCTAGATAGCAGACTGTGAATTTTTGTGATTTTCGACATAACGATCGTGAGCTGCCCTCTTTCCATCGATTAGAACTTGTCTATATTTTTTGTGGTAGTCGTCTCTTAATACTTTCATATGGGGATTCACATTGGCCAGATAAGCTTCATTAATGAGTTGCAAATTTGCACGCATAATGTGAAGGTTCTGAGTAAACCAGGAAATGTTTCTGCTTTTATTATTAGATTTAATTTTTATATCGGGAAAAGTATAGTACGGCCTACAACTTTGGGGCTGTGCTAGTAAAAGTAATATTCAAATCATTCAACGACTACAAAACAAAGCACTGAGAGACATGGTCGATCCACTCCCGCAACTGTGATCTTAGCACAAGGACCTTAAAATAGAGACAGTTAATCAAATAATTCCCAAATTCGTAGGACGTTATGAACAATGATTTCTCCAACACGTGAATGCTGAGGCACTCCAGCTCCTCGACAACGCCAATTTGACAAGAAGATTGAAGAGGACTAAACCGTTCGAGCTAGTGTAGTGAAGTGGGTGAAATGCAGAGTACTTTGGCGGTGGTTACATGATAAAATTAGTGTAATTTAGCATAGAATCAAATTGTTCATTGAACAATTATGATCAGAATGTTTATAAACAAAAAAACCCATTTTGGTAAATGATTCAAAGTTTCTCCATTAATTAAGTCATAACTGATTTCTTTATATCTAGTTTTTGTATTTCCTAATAAAGTTCTTTCATGCTTACAGATAAGAACAATATTTAAGATAGTTGTTGGACTGCTTAAAAAGTTTCTTTAAGATGTTCAGCAAACATATTAGCGTTTTCTTGATTGCTCTTATCCCAATTTTTGTTACTATATCAAATTGTAGATGTATGTGTTTTTTGGAACTTTAATGACTTTTTCCAGTTTATTGTATCATGAACTTAATTAATACAACTCATAATATAAGCAAATTTGTTTTTATTTTATTTTTTATTAAAAAAAATATGTACATAAAATCAACAAGCATTATTTAAAAATGCTAAGAAATATAAGCAGCCGATTTCTTATCAATTTTAGACCGACATACAGGGCAATAGTCTTGAATGTCAATTGAACAATCTTCGCATAAACACACATGTCCACATGGTAATAAAATAATTTCTCTAGGATTCACTTTGCACACAACACAAATTTGATTTTCAGGTAAATCTTCATCTCTTACTCTCTTTCTTCTTTCTTTTCTACTTCTTTGAAGTTCTTCTCTTCGTCTCATTTCTTCTAATTTTACTCTTCGTTTTTTCATAAATCCTTTTGCAATTATCCCACCAACAAATACGCCTACCATAGCACATAATACACAGATAATTTTATAAGTTTTTTTACTACTTTCTAATTTTCTTAATAATGAAGAAACTTGCATTGTCGTTAAGAAGTATGGCGAACCATTAGTCGGTGGTTGTAATTTAACTCTTTTACCATCACTTGAGGTTACTAATTCTCCTATTCCAGTTATAATTGCATTAGTTCTTAACATTTTTTCTGTTGTTTGTACCCCTTTTTGTTTTATTCCAACAAAAAAAGCCCACACATGATCCATTACCTTTGGTTGATTTGGATTAAATTGATTGCTAATAACGTCCATATCCAATATTTCAGCGGCCAAAGGGTCCAATATTTCCACATTACTTCCACTTGTTTGTAGAACAAATGGAGTAACATTATGACTTTCGTTAATAATTCTTTCTTGATCAGACCAAAATCCAGCACTACTTCTTTGTACTACATGTTCGCGAATACTTAAAGATTGCACCACACCAGTTATTTGAGGATTATTTGCACTAATCACCGGATTACCAAGCGGTTTTACAGTTCCTCGTATAATAACGTACGGTATTTTTTGGTTTGGATGACTCTGGACGATATCTTTCAGATCCCTGTGAATTTCCAGATAAGGGGCAGACTTTATTTTTCCAATTGCACCCCTATTTTTGACGTACTCGGTGAAACAGACCCCAAATATTATTGCGTCCACCCCCAGGATGATCGCCTCTCCCAAAAATTCCATTTTAAATTGATTTCTTTGACGTCATGAGTGCAAACGGTGCGTATTTTTGTTGTTAAATTAATATTTAATAAACGCTCGATTGTTAAATTGATTGCATCATTGTGAAATGTCACATGCCGACGTTATATTTTTGACAGAACTGAGGTTATTTTCATTCGCGTGAATTTAGAAGCGGGACGTTAGGTAACTACTTTATCGATTTTGTGTAAGAGAAGTTGCAAAGCGCATGACTAAAGCTGTTTGAATTTAATTTATTTTGCAAAATTATAATTTTCAGTACTAAAATGCAGTCTTACTAAATCTATTTTACTTTATTAGTATTACATTTTCATGATTACATTAATAAATTTGAATAGAATAATGAATAAAAAATTAATAAATTGCTATAAATACTCTTTAAAAACTTCTTGAATATTTTCTGGCATGATATAATATAATCATATTATATCATATAATCTGAAGTACCTTTCAAAATCACTCCAACTGTTCATTTTCTTTGAATACCTAATAATAAACTCATGAGCTTTGTGTTATCGTCCAATAGTCTAGACATGGTTTGATTTCACATTCTCTTTAATTGAAATATGATAAATGTTGATGGATTTATAATTATAATATAACAATTATTGTCATTGCATTGAACAGGTAATATTGTGTTGTATGAAATGAGTTAGCATTTCTGAACCTCTATGTGTAATTAATTAAATAAAGTGGTATGCAAAATAATTATCATGATTGCAATATATTGCACATCATTTGTAATATGGCAATCGCGTATGCTTCTAATAGAAGTTACAATTAATTGAAAAATTTCTCTTCAACTTTTTTGAAAAATATCGTTCGCAGATAATGTAAAAATCTAGGTCTACTGAAGACAACTGAAGCACTTTTTCGATGGTCTTTGCCTGTCATTATCTTCCTTAAACTTGATTTCAGTTTGGTTATATAAGTCGAGTGTAACAGGTGATGTCAAAATTCTACTTTTCTCTCTCATTTCGATTTTTGATCTTGTGTACTGTAGTGGATCGATAAATAAAAAAACTGAGTCATATCTCACTGTCATAACTTTTATCCGCTCAAATTTGAAGCAACACAATCAACCGATAATAACTAAATTATCTAGTTATCTTTAAAAAATCGCCAAAAACACAATTTTTAAGATATCTTGATGAAATATTCAGAATTTATAGAGCAAAGTATGTACTTTTTAATAAACAAAACCGTTCTTGAAAATATTCATTCGATAATGAGATAATGACTTTTTAAATCAACTCGAATTTTTATGATTGTATGAAGACAACAAATTTCTTAAATTTTTTAAAAACTCATTAAGAATCGAATTTGTAAGATATTTCAATGAAACATATATAATTTATAGAGCAAAGTATGTACTTTTCAATAAACAAAACCGTACTTAAAAATATTCATTCGATAATGAGATATTAATTTTTAAGTGTACCCGAATTTTTACGATTTTATGAAGACCACAAATTTCTACAATCATTTTTAAAAAATCGTCAACAAATCGAATTTGTAAGATATTTTAATTAAACATACACAATTTATAGAGCAAAGTATGTACTTTTTAATAAGCAAAACCGTTCTTGAAAATATTCATTCGATAATGAGATAATGACTCTTTAAATCAACTCGAATTTTTATGATTGTATGAAGACAACAATTTTCTTAAATTTTTTAAAAAGTCATTAAAAATCGAATTTCTAAGATATTTCAATGAAACATACATAATTTATAGAGCAAAGTATGTACTTTTCAATAAATAAATCCGTACTTGAAAATCTCTATGCGGTAATGAGATATTAATTTTTAAGTGTACCCAAATTTTTACAATCATTTTTAAAAAATCGTCAACAAATCGAATTTGTAAGATATTTTGATGAAACATACACAATTTATAGAGCAGTTAAATAGTTGTACTTTTCAATAAGGTACACTGGGGCAAGTGTGAATTAGTGACAAGGGTGACCCACATATAATAAAGTAATTGTTCGAATATATGTGGGTCACCCTTGCCCCTAATTCACACTTGCCCCAGTGTACCTTAAACGAAACCGTACATAAAAATCTCTATGTGTCAATGAGATAATCACTTTTTAAGTCAACTGGAATTTTTATGATTGCATAAAGACATCAATTATCCATCATTTAAAAAAAATCGAATTTGGAAGATATTTTGATGAAACATACACAATTTATAGAGCAAAATATGTACTTTTCAATAAACAAAACCATACTTAAAAATGTTTAGTCGTTAACGAGATATTAATGTTTAAGTCTACCAAAATTCTTATGATTTTATGAAAACAACAAATTTTTACAACCACCTTTAAAAAATCGACAAAAAATTGAATATGTAAGATTTTTTGATGAAACATACACAATTTATAGAGAAAAGTATGTACTTTCCAATAAACAAAACCGTACTTAAAAATCTCTAGTCGTTAACGACATATTAATGTTTAACTCTACCCAAATTCTTATGATTTTATGAAGACAACAAATTTCTACAATCATTTTAAAAAAATCGCCCACAAATCGAATTTGTAAGATATTTTGATGAAACATACACAAGTTATAGAGCAAAGTATGTACTTTTCAATAAACGAAACCGTACTTGAAAATCCCTATTCGTTAACGAGATAATAGTTTTTTAAATCAACCTGAATTTTTATGATTGAATGAAAACAACAATTTTCTATAATCGTCTTTAAAAAATCGCTAAAAATACAATTCTTAAGATATCTTGATGAAATAGCAAATCACAATTCATAGAGCAAGGTATGTACTTGTTAATAAACAAAACCGTATATAAACATCTCTATTCGTTAATAAGCTAAAGACTTTTTAAGTCAACTCGAATTTTTATGATTGCATAAAGACAACAATTATCTATCATTTTTAAAAAATCGCTAAAAATCGAATTTGTAAGATTTTTTGATGAACCATACACTATTTATAGAGCAAAGTATGTACTTTTCAATAAACGAAACCGTACTTGAAAATCCCTATTCGTTAACGAGATAATAGTTTTTTAAGACAACCTGAATTTTTATGACTTAATGAAAACAACAATTTTCTCTAATCGTTTCTAAAAAATCGCCAAAAATACAATTCTTAAGATATCTTGATGAAATAGCAAATCACAATTCATAGAGTAAGGTATGTACTTGTTCATAAACAAAACCGTACTTGAAAATATTCATTCGTTAATGAGATAATGATTTTTTAAGTGAACTCGAATTTTTATGATTGCATAAAGACAACAATTATCTATCATTTTTAAAAAATCGCTAAAAATCGAATTTGTAAGATTTTTTGATGAACCATACACTATTTATAGAGCAAAGTATGTACTTTTCAATAAACAAAACCGTACTTGAAAATCTTTAGTCGTTAACGAGATATTAATGTTTAAGTCTACCCAAATTCTTATGATTTTATGAAGACAACAAATTTCTACAATCATTTTTAAAAAATCGCCAAAAAATCGAATTTGTAAGATATTTTGATGAAACATACACAATTTATAGAGCAAAGTATGTACTTTTCAATAAACGAAACCGTACTTGAAAATCCCTATTCGTTAACGAGATAATAGTTTTTTAAGACAACCTGAATTTTTATGATTTAATGAAAACAACAATTTTCTCTAATCGTTTTTAAAAAATCGCCAAAAATACAATTCTTAAGATAACTTGATGAAATATCAAATCACAATTCATAGAGCAAAGTTATTACTTGTTAATAAATAAAACCGTACATAAACATCTCTATTCGTTAATAAGCTAAAGACTTTTTAAGTCAACTCGAATTTTTATGATTGCATAAAGACAACAATTATCTATCATTTTTAAAAAATCGCTAAAAATCGAATTTGTAAGATTTTTTGATGAACCATACACTATTTATAGAGCAAAGTATGTACTTTTCAATAAACAAAACCGTACTTGAAAATCTTTAGTCGTTAACGAGATATTAATGTCTACCCAAATTCTTATGATTTTATGAAGACAACAAATTTCTACAATCATTTTTAAAAAATCGCCAAAAAATCGAATTTGTAAGATATTTTGATAAAACACACACAATTTATTGAGAAAAGTATGTACTTATCAATAAATTAAACCGTATTTGAAAATCTAAGATAATGACTTTTTAAGTCAACTCGAATTTTTATAATTTTATGAAGACAACAGATTTCTATAATCATTTTTAAAAAATCGAATTCTTAATATATCTTTATGAAATATTCACAATTTATAGAGCAAGGTGTATACTTTTAATAAACAAAACCGTATTTAAAAATCTTTATTCGATTTCTGTCCATAAATAGAAATGTGGGTTCTTGGTGTACATATCAGTTACATAGAAGGCATATGATCCTTGAATAGGCGTCTTCAGGAGAGGTTGAATTTGTTGCATGTCAAAGCAAAGAGTATTAAGCATTAAGGGATTGCATTTATGGGCGCAAGGAAAGTTTTAGCTCTAGCTTTATCAGCGTGGTATCTAGCTTTAAGTGCAGCACCATCAACTGATTGTTTTTGTCTTGAAACAGTTACTGCAGATAACAGAGGAGGGCGACGAAAATCGTGTGTTAACCAGCGAGATTGACCAGCGTTCATATTCTCCGCTGTTGTATTATTGTCCATTATTCACAATTTTTTATGTTATATTACTGGGTTTATTATTATAAACTGTTAATGTTATTATAAGAATGTTAATTTGAATAAGTCGAAAAAAATACAAATCATTTTGAATTAAAAACGAACCCATTAATATGAATTAAATTAATATTGATTTAAACATCTACTAATATTCGTCAAAGTAATAAAATGAGACTACTACATATAAATAAAAATCCTATTACTTGAAAAGTATTTTTACAAAAAAGCAGAACAATTTCCTCTTCTTGTAGTTTCAAAGGTTAAATTTGTTGACTCGACTTCTAACCCGAGTTCAGAGACACTACTCTACTCTCCTATGGAGTAAATTCACCCAGACAGAAAAGTTCTTTGAAACTCTGAGGCCAATATGTACTTGGCGAAGGTGAGTAGTCCAACATCGGGTTGAAATCGGGTAGTTCATAGCGCCCCCATGCGGGGGTGCATCAGTAGCACAAGTTAAATTGTGT